TTTAGAAAGTAAGGGAATCCAACCAATCTGAAAATGAATTTTATCATATTTCCATATTTTCATTAAAAGATTATAATTAATGCATTTCAACATTTTCCACTTAAAAAACAACTTTTACAAAAATAGGGATTCCACCTCATCCTGAAAATGAATTTGGCTGACTCCACTTGTTGACCATTTGGCGAAGGGCTTTATCTGCTGCTTTTACTACTTTTACCAATGAGGAAGATGGACTTGTAAGCTTGCCATAGATCTTGAAAGATGTTAAGCTTGACTTTAATGAACCTTCATGACAGTGTGAGTGGTCAGGTATGAGAGGTTGGTCATCATTCTCTATGGTTAAGGCAGTTGCACATTTAGCACACTTGATGCAACTTGTAATTTTCTTGGATATGTATCCACTGATATAGGTCAGTACATCATCATGCCAAAGAGTGGAACTGTTTAATAATGCTGCAACTCTCCTATCAGCATTTTGTGTCTCTTCAGCTAGCTTGCTTTCACTTACAACAGAGCAGTTGGCAGTTGCTGGGGCTGTCACTTCATTCTTTTGTATCAGTGCTCGGAGTGCCCACTTAAACTGTTGAGCATTTGGATTGTTATTCCATCCCATACGACTTCTTGGGGGATGGAATAACAATCTTGTGGTTTATGAGCATGACTCAACAAACAAAGAAACTACTTTTTGACAATTTCAATTTAAGACAACACTGATGCTTAGTGAGACCAAAAGATAATATGTAAATTCCCACGTTTTTTTTACAGAAATGTTAGCCAGGACCAGGCTGCCTCGTTTGTTAGAGCAGAAAAACCATAGCTGTATGGCAATTTTCTTTACTAGTAAAATTTCATGTATTGAACAAAGAAATATCAGTAGTTTATTTATCTTTGTACGTAAGTGCCATAAAATGAACCAACTGAGCAGTATGATACAATTTTTGTCAGAAGTCATTAGTTGCATGTTAATAATGTGATGCAATTTAGACATTTGTAGTTATAAAATTGTATTGCCATTGGAAACAACTGGTATCATAGATGGTGTTGTAGCTATAGCATAATAAAAACATATACTATAACTAAGTATGATAAGCATAAAAGTCACATATATTTTATTCACAGCTATATCTTATAATAATCTCAGCCATAGCCAGCATTTTTATTTGGTCATGCTATCCCAATGTTGCTGTGTTCACTCACTGTACAAACAATATATTTCTAATGAAATAAGCAATCATGCAGTGAAATTTACATAGCAAGTGTAAAACATTCATTCTGGATATGCCACCAATGACATCAATATCAAATATTTCATAAGATAATATATAAATTTAATGAACACCTTAGCTCTGGTAAAAAAATACTTTAAACAGAGCTTTATAACTCTCTCAAAAAATAGTATTGTAACAGTATCTTGGGTTATGTGTTTGAATGTTATTATGTCAGATTTTGAAATAACCACTGGTAATATAACAAGCTTCTGAACATAAGTTCCTTCTCTTTCGTTGAACCACTTAGCTGTAAGATCTCATCAGTATAGCCAATGCTCCTGGATACAATTACTTGAGATGAGGTAAGTTTCCTTCAGTTAAGTTTACAAACTTTAATAGCTTCACTAAGATCTTGTCAGTAGATAATAGTGCTGCAGTGTTATGTATCTCCTTGCTCCTCTTTTCATTCATTCAAAGTCGGATGGCCTTTCTAAACCGTGTTTGAATCTCACATATCAGTACGAGTACAGTGGGAGTGCTTTCTCGAATAAGTCGCTTTTTTGTCAGAAATATTCAGATTGATTCCCCAATCTTTCTGTAAATTGTCAATATGACATATTCCGATGCGCAACAAATCAGTATGGGAGTTAAAGCTGAAAAAATCTGTTTCTCTTAGTGGACAAACGACTTGAGACAACCAAACGACCAATTTACACAATATTTCGAAAGCGATATTTTCACCCGTATTTCAATTATAACTGTCCAATATGGTTTCAAAACACTTGAAATAAAGATTTGTTTCCAATAAAACTTCATCGGAAGAGTTTGAAAACAATGAGAAGAAGTAAATTGCGAAAAACATCAATTGCCCTATAGTGACTCCATGTTTTTTGCCCGGTTCCCACGCCATCTTGGATTTATCATGGATGTCACGCAATATGGCGGCTCGTCAGCGATCTAGTCCTACTATATCTATGGCAGTGAACCAGTGAACTCGACATTTGAATAACTGGAATGATAACCGAAGCCAAAAATTGAAGCCAAAAAAATATTTGTTGTCATCATTCGTCATCACACGTCAGGCTCTAGTCTCTCGCGTGTTCATTTTAATTTTTTTAAATCATTTGTTCCTTGGTAATGGTAGAGTTCGGATCTTGATCAGAGCGTAAAAATAACGAAATTTTTGGAATGAAAAGGTTCACGGAAAGTGAATCCAAGTGATAAATCGAGAAGCAAGATGAGGTGAACTTAGTCGATCTGCTCTTACGCTGCGGTTTTCCTTTAAAACATATCAAAGTCTTTAAGGATATTCAATTATTGATATCGAGATGAAAACCATTTAGTATTTCAAGTTTCAAGCACTATCAAAATCGATGAAAAATACAATCGCTCTGTAAAAAGTAAAAATGCGAGTTATCGACTCAATATTTTTTATGAAACTGGATATTCAAGTTTCTTTTTTATTCGGAAAAACAGATCTTTAAATCCACTTAAATGACAAAAAAGACAAACACTGTCTGACACCGTTTGAAAATTTACCTTCGGACGAAAGAAAAGTTTATGCTTGAATATTTTCTCGTCATATTTTCTATTGTATTGTCTTTTTAGCATACAGTGTAATTTTCATTTGGCTTTTCCTCGTTACAAGTTGTAAGTTACAACGAACTCACTGTAGTAAAGTTTCAGCTGTAAAAAATAACCTTTTGCGAGGAGTTGGCCTCGTGTGTTGTTTGTCGTGATGTTGTTTATATGTTTATGCTTTCGCAATTTGTATTCAAATTTATATTGGCCGTGTATGTTTGGCACTCAGGGGAATGAAACTGACGTACAAACCGCGTGAATATTCGACTTTGAAGGACTGGAACTGACGTACAAACCGCGCAAGAGACTAGGACTTTGGCTTCAATTTTATATCTATAAAATGTATTGTCGTTATCATTCCAGATATATATATATATGGAGTTCACTGCAGTGAACTCGACATTTGAATAACTGGAATGATAACCGAAGCCAAAAATTGAAGCCAAAAAAATATTTGTTGTCATCATTCGTCATCACACGTCAGGCTCTAGTCTCTCGCGTGTTCATTTTAATTTTTTTAAATCATTTGTCCCTTGGTAATGGTAGAGTTCGGATCTTGATCAGAGCGTAAAAATAACGAAATTTTTGGAATGAAAAGGTTCACGGAAAGTGAATCAAAGTGATAAATCGAGAAGCAAGATGAGGTGAACTTAGTCGATCTGCTCTTACGCTGCGGTTTTCCTTTAAAACATATCAAAGTCTTTAAGGATATTCAATTATTGATATCGAGATGACAACCATTTAGTATTTCAAGTTTCAAGCACTATAAAAAACGATGAAAAATACAATCGCTCTGTAAAAAGTAAAAATGCGAGTTATAGACTCGATATTTTTTATGAAACTGGATATTCAAGTTTCTTTTTTATTCGGAAAAACAGATCTTTAAATCCACTTAAATGACAAAAAAGACAAACACTGTCTGACACCGTTTGAAAGTTTACCTTCCGACGAAAGAAAAATTTATGCTTGAATATTTTCTCGTCATATTTTCTATTGTATTGTCTTTTTAGCAAACAGTGTAATTTTCAGTTGGCTTTTCCTCGTTACAAGTTGTAAGTTACAACGAACTCACTGTAGTAAAGTTTTAGCTGTAAAAAATAACCTTTTGCGAGGAGTTGGCCTAGTGTGTTGTTTGTCGTGTATGTTTGTCGTGTATATTGGCCGTGTATGTTTGGCACTCAGGGGAATGAAACTGACGTACAAACCGCGTGAATATTCGACTTTGAAGGACTGGAACTGACGTACAAACCGCGCAAGAGACTAGGACTTTGGCTTCAATTTTATATCTATAAAATGTATTGTAGTTATCATTCCAGATATATATATATATGGAGTTCACTGATCTATGGTTATAGCAAACCCCGAATGCAAACATGTTGTCAATATGGCGGCGTCAAAATCAAAACAATACACTTCTCTAAAAACCTGGGACCTGGGCACTAATATACTTAAATTCATATAAAATCCAGAGTGGGATCGCAATTCGCAAAGCATTATGCAACACGATGTAAAAAGTTCGCCATACCGTATATGAAAATTGGAACACGATGTAAAAAGTTCGCCATACCGTATATGAAAATTGGAACGCTTTAAATTTTGACGATACGGTACAAGAAGTTTCGAACGTATATGAAAACTTTAGAATGTCCTACAGCAAGTTTCGCATATATTTTTTAGATTTGTCTCGAAGTATATAAAGTTTGCCATGTATAATTTTAGTATGTTATGTAGTATTCTAAGTTTAGAATAAAGTCCAATTTGGCGCCTCATATAACAACACATTGACAGTGTAAAGATTGCCGTTTGATATTTATTTCTAATATAGTTAAAGCATTACTTGAAAACATATACGTTATTTTACAGTAGATTTACCTCATTTAAATGTGTGTGTTTATTTCACAAAAACTGAAGCATTATTTTCAATATTTTATGTTTTCGCGCCAAAATGACGTAAATCGTACTCGTAGTCGTACTCGTTTGTCTTTGCTAAAGCTCTCTAATATAGAACTCAATGGTCCCAACTCTTACGAATGGAGGGCTCTGGCGGCCGCGCGCTAATAATTTATAGTAATTTTGTTGACGTTTCCCCTCCAGGTCTTATGGAACTCATTGGATATATTTCGGATGGGTCGCCATTTTTTTCATGCCATATTCTATACGCTTGGCGCTCGCAACATATTCAACATTCTCTTTTTATCATACGAATCGGGTGTTCTAAGAAATTGACATTTTATTGGCGAATGAGCTAATTACAGTACAGTGAGGTTAACTGTTACAGTTTGCCAGCTGGTATTTCCCGTGAAATCAAACTTAAAAATCGTTTGCCGACAATGAATGTCGAACATGAGGTGGCAGTATTGGCAAAGAAGCTTGATAAAATCGTATCAGACGCCCATTCAGTGAGTATAAACTATCGTAAACACGTCATTGTTGAAGTATGGAGCACCAATCAAGTACCAGTCACACTGCTGACTATTCTACAAAATAGAGGTTGAATTTCCCGGCAGTTGTAACTTGTAAAGATAATGTAGGCTTAGTTAAAATAACAGATGATGAACTAATCAAAAGACAGAGAAGTCAAAACATGTTTACATATTTTTTTATGAGCTTGTGTACCCATTTTGTTATTATCTTACAATTGTTTTGTTTGCTTGGCAATGTGCAAAGACTATTGATTTTTAATGGTTGGAGGATAGGATGGATTTTCGTACGATAAAAATGGATTTTTCAAATGATCAAGATGGTAAAGCCAAGTTTAACATTATATTGAAGGCATGCATTACTTTACATTAAAAGTGATTAGATTTCAACAAGATGAGGAAAACAATTCAACTTTTTAATGAAATAAGTCTTGTGGAATATTATAATACGTATACAAATGGCATCAAATAGCGTCATTCATTTGCTCTCCTTTTGTTAAGAATCAAGATGTTGCAGTAGATTTGCTAAAAACTTTGAAAGATCTTCCAATCACTCTTGATGTCCTACAGGTTAGATTATAATTTTCAAGCATTTAGATACATCCAGTTAATGCATATGTAAGATGTTGCTCTAGGATGAACAATAGCTTAAGATAAGTGAAAGTTGTGTATATTAAACCTGAGGACATATAACATGAACTTAAAACAGGTGAAGATATGTATAACATATAAACAAGTAAGGCCTGTTTCAAACATCACACTTTACATTAGCTGAATGCATGCAAAACAAAATATAATGAAGAATTTTACCTCATTTTCTTTTGTTGTAGATGCATTTGGTGCATCTAAAATATGACATTTGAAATGGGCCTAAGATAAATAAAGAAACATTTTATAGCATGGGACAAGTGTGCACATGTATGGCATAAACTACAGCAAAATGATAAATAAACGAAGCCATGTATAAAATATCCACAGCAAATGAAAATATGTATGACACAAACATGAGACAAACAAGGACTTTTATGAAATATATGAAATATTTGTACCAGTAACAGCATTGTTATTGTCATTTGTTGTGAAGCATTAAAAATGTTATTAATATTGCAATTGCCATATCACCAAATTTCAAATGAGATAAGTATTATTGATTAGACTATTCCTTGGGTTTAAACTTATCAGTTTAAAAATTAGTGAATTTCATTTTCATTTTATGTGAACAACCTTTGAAATTCAAATATTTTAAAAAGGCATAAAAAGGCAATTTTAGTATTTTCTTTTACCTTGGCAAAAAGTATGACAATGTGACCTGCCTCAGCAATTCCCTCGGCAATTCCTAGGGGCCAAGGCAAATTTTTAGGGTTGGTAAATGATAAGACATATATTTTTATTGCAGAAAACACGAATTGGGATGACAGTGAATGTTCTTCGAAAGTCTAGTTCCAACTCTGAAATACAGACGATTTCGAAAAGTTTAATAAAAAGCTGGAAAAAGCTCCTGACAGGTTTGAAGATGATTCCATGATTTTTAACAGTTTTATACATATAAATTATGCAATTATGGTTGTAAGAATCTCAACTAAACTTCATCATATACTCCCATTTACAATTTTTTTGGCAACCAAGTTTTCTTGGTTATGTCCAAAGTATCAACTAGATTTTATTTAATTTTATAATTCTGTAAAAAGTCTAAGTTAAAATACAGGCAAAAAATTGAAAACCTGTAGTTTTAACAATGCAAAGTGGCAGATATTAACAGTAAGTCAGAACAAATTAAAAATTATGTTTGAAATTAAAGTACTTTCATTGGTAAAACCTTGGCTTCAAAATATTCATGAGAAATTATTGCTATGAGGTGCTGTAATGTGTTCTGATTTACCCTAGATCTGCCAGCGCATGCAATTTTAGACATTTCTTTGATCATTTTAGAAAAAGAAAGTTCTTCAAAAGAAGGTGCGAATAATGGTGAAAAAAAAGAGAAGTCCGGTGATACGAAAAATAAGACAGAAAATTCAATAAAGCAAGAAAAACCAAAAAAAAAATCCGTTCCAACTACGAACGACGATGTACGACAAAAATGTCGCGAAATGCTCGCTAACTCTCTAAGTTTGGCAAACAGTGAGACTAGTAAAGGTATACAGTTTTTATTATGGTGGTAAGCGCCTACGAGTTTGGGTAGTAATTCCGTGCTCAACATATACACTAAATTGATCCCTAATCCAATCTTACCAACATCTTGGTCATCATTTACCTGGTACGATGAGATTAAGGTTTAGGGTTTAGTTTGTGCGAGTTGCGATTGCTGTAGCGATGCCACCATATATAATAGACACATTCACCAAGTAAAATCTCTATAATATAGAACTTTTAAACAAAAATCGATATAGTACGTAAACGTCTTTGCTATTGGTAAGTATTTGACGTTGCGTGTTTGTACGCCTTCACGTTTAGCATTTTGCAAGGGTTAGTGAAAGTCTTGTGTTGACGTTCTTTTACTGTAAAACAGTATTAAATTAGATATTTTAATTTTTTGTTTAGATGTTGAAAGCATTGCCGCTGCTCTTGAGCACTGTATCTTTTAAACTTACTTAGCCCCTTAAGTTAATCCTTACAATGATTTTTCTTTAAGTGCTACGTATAATCAGCTTTTGCTGGAAACAGAGAAACTGTCTTGGATAAATTCAAATTTCGTTACATTCGTACGTGTAGGATGAAATAGGTTTCTTTGACAAGTATAATCCAGGTATATATGAAGAATTTAAGGACACAAATGCAAAGTATAAGGCAAGAATTCGAAGTCGAGTTTCAAATCTTCGCGATCCCAAAAATGAAAAGTTGAGAGAAGCTGTTTTGAGTGGTGAAATAACTCCTGAACGGATGGCGAAAATGACGGCTGAAGTAAGTGTTCAGTTTACGAAAGTCTTCAATGTAGACTTGCACGAGAGACTTGGAAATTACCAACGACACTGCAGTTTCAAAATCAGATCACTCGTTTAATGAAAAAGGTCTGTATTTTTTGACGATGCACCTTTTTTTTTAAGGAAATGGCGAATGACGAGATAAAGACACTTCGAAAAAAGTTCACCAAAGAAGCAATCAACGACGCTCAAATGGCCGTGACAGCTGGTACACCGACAGATCTTTTTAAATGTGGAAAATGCCAAAAACGACACTGCACATACACACAGGTAACATACACCCATACAAACTAACGTATGTACGATCAATTTAAGTATTTTTCCGTGATAAGAAGGAATTGAAAAATCGTGATTGAACATGCGTATAAAAGGACCGTAGATGCTTGTTTTAGAACCACGGTCTTTTTCTGAAAATTTCCTCATCGTGAGTGCCCCTCGAAACCGGCAGAGGCGCTTATTGAGTTATTTTCAAGTAAAGGTTAAAAATAAATGAATAATTTTATTCGCAAAAAGTTTAATAAAACTGTCAACGAATAGAATGTCCGTTAAGGTCTATTCCATCTCCAATTATGTATAAAAGTCTGTCACGTTGATGGCGTGCAAGCCATTGAGTTCTATAATAACTGGAGCGGCTATCTCAAGCGCGGCCTTAGATATCTGATGACGCCAAAAAATGGCGGATTTTGTCCTTTGCCGCTGGGATTTACCGAAATTGACCGCTTTTCCGAAAATTTCACAATTTCCCACTCCCTCCTGAGGAAAGAGTGAGGAAAATGTATGTGTGTATTTGGGATTCGGCAAGCATTTTTTGATGAAAATCAAGGTAAAAACCTTAAATTCATAACAGCGAGTCAACTGTGGTTGTCAGTTATATGCTCCTACGAGGATGCATTTATAACTGTCGGCGAAAGACCTATATGTCGGCTACACATGTATGAATGCAGATGTGCGTCGTTTTCTTACCAGCGTCAAACTTGTTTGATCAATTAAACTCTTTAGTCTATACAAAAAAGTATATCATAGTTCATCTCCACGGTTCACGAGAGAGAAGTTAGCTTATTTGTTATCATTGCTATTTTGCTTCTTTTCATGCAATGGGCAATGGCTTTTTTCGCCACAATTGTAGGATTTTTACTTGTTTCTTTAAAAAAGTACATATTAAATCTCAGGATATTTACGGATATTCTGTATTTGAGTTTCATATGAAATTTCAAAGACTCAAGTCTGCATATGTTTGGTAAATGAAAACAAACAATATTGTATAGAAATTACTTTAAGTAACCTTTTTGTGATGTTCTGAAGTGCAACTGCATCAAATACTTGTAAAGTTCTAGCACATTTTGATTCGGTTGTATTGATATATGAATTGGGCAAATTGCAAATAATCATCAAAACACTTATGCTTCCAATGGTGTTTATAATTCATTTGTAGTTTTAATACTTCTACCTTTCTTTTTCACTTTGTTTTGTTTTTCCTATATTTGCAATAAAAGTGCACTATAATTTGAATGATTAACACAGTTTTCACCTCAATAATAAATTTCATAAGCAGTTGGTAGTGCATTTTGTTCTCTGAGTATCCACATCTGGTGTTTTGTTCATACAAGAATGATGAAGTGCAAGTAGATATGTCATAGCAAGGCAATAAAACCAAATGAATTACATACCTATAGTGTACTTTTATGCTAGTAGCTTAAAAGCTTTTTAGAAATTAGAAAGTTATTGGATTATATTACCTCTATATCATCAATCTCAAAAAATAAGAAGCAAAAAATTTGTATAAAAGCTTTGAAAAGTGAAAAACTTTTCTTTAAAACAGCAGCAATAATGCATATGATAAATCTCCATTCTGTACTCTAATAGGTAAATAAGCTCAAATTTTTCTTAAAGAAATATAAGAAATATATAAGAAATATACAGTACAGTAACTTTAAAGGTTTCATCACTGAATCTTTAATGCTTCAGTATAATGCATTAGATATTAGTAACATTCAAACAACACTCAACTAAAATATTTTGATAAAGATATGACATGATTTAAACATTAAGTTACATAAAACCCAATGGCTTATACAGTTTGAAGCTTCACATCTGCATCGAGTCATCATCAATCTCAGTACAAATGTTTACATAGACACAAACTTTATGGCCTTCCATTTTACATGTTTGTGAATTTACATTTCATTAAGCATCAAAACACACACAACCTTCTTGCCATCTTTCTTTGGATCATGAACTTTAACTTCCAAGCAATCAAGGCATCCTTTGTGAATCCATTGTCTTCATCCATAGAATTTGACCACGATCAAATTAAATAACTCTGGATAGGGCAGACAATAAATCAATTATCTTTATAGCATTATCATTTTTTAAGACTCTACCTGGTCAATAACATCTTCCAGTCATCTTTACTCCTTGATCTTCCCTGCATGTTGTCAGCAAATAGAACATAAGAAGCTCTGCTCCAAATCATGGGTACCGTTGGGGCTGATCATTTCTTTTTGATACTTACTCACAGAGCAAAATGTGTGCAGGGTTTTTTTTGCTTTAGGGAAACTATTTTGCAAATAAATGGGTAAATTTACGATTTCATGTATTAACAAATGACAGAAAAGTATGCAGAATTTTATAAACAAAAACAGGAAAACATCAGTATATTAGGCGTTCAAGTCAGTCTTAAAAAATACGATCTTTAATATGTATATGGCTTTTCAAGTGCATGTATAATTGCTTTTCAATCGTTGACGGACTAACAAAACAAACAACTACCTCACCGGTGAGAAGCGATATGTTCCTTTTTGTGGAAACTACGACATCCAACAATTGAAGGATTGAAGTGTTGGAATTATAAAAGAAATGCCAAAAAAGAATCGTCACAGAATATGGAACAAATGATATCCATATTCTGTGATATCGTGTTTGTTTTTGAAAAATTCTTTATAATTTACTATAGACACCAGGAGAGGTCGAGAATATTATTTTTCTGCAAAGCGATCATTTCAGCGGAAATACGTCCTTTGGCCGCCATTTTTTTGGCATCCTCGCCCCAGTAAAGTTAGCCGCTGCAGTTATTATAGAACTCAATGGTGCAAGCCGATTGTGATAAGCGCTCACTGATATATATAGAAAGACTGGATAACGCAACCGAATTCTGGTGCCTAGGAAATTTTAAGCCAAATTTTGGGCAGTGGCGGCCATATTGGACTATCCACTTCTAGTATATATTTTATAATGAATTTTTATCATGATTTGTTATTTCTCTTTCAGAAATCATGCCAAATGTTTTATCATGATATTTAAACACGAGTTTTTGCCATAAACCGTCTTGTCGTCATAATAATTCTTTTTTGTCCCAAGAGTAAAACATGATCCAAAATAAATGCGAGAGTAGCAGTTTGTTGTGTAAAACCTATATAGAAACTGAAAAGTGGATAGTCCAATATGGCCGCCATCCGGCTTCAAGTCAGCCACTGATCTAAAATAGACTGGATAACGCACTAATACAAAATTTCCACTCATCTGAAATAGACTGGATAACGCAACTAATACCATTGAACTGAAATACATCTGGAACGATAAGTCAGAGGGGTAAAATGAAGCCATATTTTTTCATTTTCGCAGGTCGCGCCAGTCGTTTTGTAATAAAAAATAGCATTTTTTATAATTGTAAAATTTCAAAATTGAACTTTGCGCTAGTTTTTCAAAATACTATCGACTTTGTAGAATATTAGTTAAAATTATAGACTGTCAAAAAAAAAATCGGCCAAAAATCATAGCATTGCTGAGAAATTTTAAAGCAAAGACAAAAATTACGCAAAGTCCGTGCGATTTTTGTTGCTTTTTCTGAGTTTTTGAAAGTTCCAGGCGCACCCGAACGTTCAAACCACATAAATATTGTAATTCCATGTTAAATACACAAGTCTATAAGGTTTCGTAAAAATTGAGCAATTTGCGAAGGAGAAAAATGTATTTTTTTACAAGCATTTTTCATGCCATGAAAATACATATACTGCAAATATACATATAGCTCAGTGTCATAAAGAAAATTGAAAGATCTTCGCAAAAACAGTTCTTAAAAAGCTATTTAAAAATCCAGAACATTTTTCAAATAAGAAACGCGCCATTCTTATTTTGTCTGTATAAAGCAAATAATAGGAGAAAAAGAAAATGAAAACAATGCATATCACGGCGGGCTGATAAGCCTGGTAGTTGATACAAAAACAATAATGAAATAAACAAGGAAAATTGTGTGCCATTCAACAAATAATATCACTGGAACATTGATAAAAGGACATGAATCATACTCGAAAATGGTGTATAAAATGCTATGAATATTCAAATATGTTTTATATAACATTCATATTTTTTAACATTTAGTTCCGTCTTGTAAACTTGCATTAGTTTGCCGATCGTTCGTCCTCGATTCTTGCTGAATATGTTTCTCCTCAAAAATATCTTGCTGTTGCATGAACTTATTCAGTTAGATGCAATTACAAAGAACAAAATGTTGAAAAAAACGACAAATAATTATTTTTTCACGTTTTTCTTCTGCCAAGAAGCTTAAAGAAACATCGCTCGCCGAAAAAAACGCATGATTTCAGGGGGGTTGACAAATTTTATTGGTATTTTGTCTTCAGCCAATTATTGGGGAAAACTATAGGACTTATCGTTCCAGATGTATTTTAGTTCAATGACTAATACAAAATTTCTAGCAAAAATTGAAGCCGGAGTAAATCTACCCGAATCCAAGTTGGGGACCCACTTTTCTATAGATTTGTATTACAGAGTCACGGTTCTTGCAATATTTTGCCTTTACGCGTTTCTGATCGGAGCAGTTTTCTTCCCACCACTATAAAAAGATAAGAATACTTTGGACGAAAATTTACGGTTATTTCGACTTCACAACGCTGTGAAACTTGATTCGCAAATTTGAAGGAGTGAGCAACTCCACAATACACAAACTTGTTCCAAATAAGACGGAGGGTTTTTCTCTCAAAGTCGATTTGAAATGTAGAATTTATGATGGTAGTCGAATTTTCGGTAAAAGTTAGGTTCAGTCAACCATTTGTATTCTTAAAGTAAATGGTTTGAACCCGTGGAGTATCGTTATATGTTTGTAAATGTAGGTCGTCCAGGTTGGTATAGTCCTGAGAAGGACTGTTTTTTTGTTGTTGACTGACGTTTCGACAACCTTAGCGGAAGATGACTACTTTTATATGTTAGTAAGTTATTTGTTGTTTGTAGGAACGAGTTTGTGTGATCTTGATCAAAGTTTAACTAACATTCGTGAGGGACATAAACAATGTTTCAAACAAATACTGGCCACATGATTTAGGAAAACTTGCTCTATTCAACCAACTGTAGCATTTGGATATGGCCTTCATCAATATCCAACATATGTATCAATTGCAGTCTGTGCAACTAATACTGCAGTACTAATACTGCAGTGCTGCAAGAGGTTGCACCTCTATACATGGCTCATTATATTGCCAGATGCTACAAAACAAAACAGCCTACGCCCTACATTACTTGTTAAGAAGTTGTTGGTTCAAAAAATTACAAAAGTGAATTTGCTTTCCTGTCTTTAAAAGGCAGGATTATCTTGTTTCCAACCAAAAGATATTTTTTTATCAGTATGCAATAAAACAGAAAGGTGTTTATAACTTCTAATGGCAGTTTACTACAAGGGAATACAATTCCTGATTCTACAGCTTTGCATAGACTGCAATTGATACATATGTTGGACACTTTAGTCAATAATAACCATACTTCCTCATTGATGAAGGCCATATCCAAACGCTATAGCAAGGCGTGGTGATTATAATATCTTTATAAAATAAATTAACAAAAAGTAAGGAAAAAAGCTTTGTGAATTTGTCTTATTCCTACATCAATAGTATCTGGCTCACAAAGTCACGGCAAAAGTAACGTGCAACAATCTCTATAGAGTGTAAAGAATGATAAAATAAAGTTACTTATTTTGCAAGCATTGAAACTTATTCTAGACCATAACTGCCTCTGAACTTGGAAAGCGAGCTGTGAATTATCTTGCCTTGGCAGTTGGCAGCAATGGGGCCTATTCTTGCACAGAAAATTTTCAAATGAGCACGAACGCCGATATTACACAGCTATCGAGAGCATTTCAATGTCAAATTGTTTTATAAAACTTGTTTTATCCATTACGGATATTTGAGATTAGTAAAAGGTCGTGAAATGCTTAAATATTCGAAAACTACGTTTGTCATTTGTTTGTATCTTCTGTGGTACCCGGAAATGAATTTTTGCATAAATGATTCGGCTTAACTTTTTTGCTAATTATAGAAACTATATCCAGACTATTACAGCGCTGGGAGAAGTGTGGGAAAGTGTTTTTTAAATTTCATTTACGCTTTTAGAATGAAAATAAATAAAAGACGTATTTTTATAATGAAATTAATATTAAATTTACATTGTAAAGTAAAGTTTCATGTGAAATTTGTTTTTGAAATGAAAATACAACTGAAAATAAAATTGACACACGGAAAATAGAGATGATAACGATGGGCCACCATAGTTGTAATAAGAACAGCCCCGATCAGAAACGCGTAACAGGCAAAATATTGCAAGAACTGTGATTCTGTAATACAAATCTATAGAAAAGTGGGCCCCCAACTTTGATTCGGGCAGATTTACTTCAATTTTTGCAATTAGATGCGTTATCCAGTCATTTCAGATCAGTGAAGTCAGCACTAAGTTGTGTAATCCAGTTTTATACATATCCAGTTATTTCAGATGCGTTATCCAGTTATTTCAGATCAGTGAAGTCAGCACTAAGTTGTGTAATCCAGTTTTATACATATCCAGTTATTTCAGATGCGTTATCCAGTTATTTCAGATCAGTGAAGTCAGCACTAAGTTGTGTAATCGAGTTTTATACATATCAGTGATAGCGCTGCACTAACGTTGCCCAGGTAAGTGCAGCGCTTAAGAGGGAGAGGTGCTAAAACGAGCATTTTCGGTATTGCCACAGTATAGAAATAAACAGTTGACCCACTCTATTGAATTTTTTTGTGTAGCGCATATCTTATTACGCATGTGATAAGCAATAGTCGCAGCCAGTCAATTGCCTTTTTTGACCAATAGGAGTACTGAGATGGCTAGCCGCAGCTAGTAATTAATTAGATATACAGCACTAAGTTGCACAGTGGAGTGAGACTACTGTTTGTTTCTATATTGTGGTATTGCGCTTGACTTGTTTTAGTTCAAAGAAATATCAAGAATGCCTAAGACGTTGACCAATACTTGTGCTTCTTTTTTACATTAGGTGCAAACACGAAGCGCCGATGAACCTATGACCACATTTGTATACTGTCAAGAATGCGGAAATCGATGGAAGGTGAATAAAAATTAATTTCAAATTTTTTATCGGCGCAGTGTCTTGTGAAAGGTTATTTTCGTTGAATGAGGCAGTATTCTTCCTAAGACACGTTCAATATTGAACTTTTCGTAGCAGCATTCTCTATATTATATAATACGGCGTATGATGAGCGTTTCTTTTAGAGCTTTTTGCGTTGACGATTCGAATACTTCACTGACCTTTATTGTATGACTTCATAATACATGATGCAAAAATAAAACCTTCCTCAGCTCAAATATTAGCCATAAATTTAAACTCAAAAATTCAGTGCAGTTTGATCGTCCGTCATTCTCAATTTCAAAGCTTTTAAACCAACGAAATGCGTATTAATTTGTTCTGCCGGTTAGACTGTTCTTCCTGTCGATTTAAGAAAACGTTACGATCAGAACTATCAGAAAATAATAACGCTAAAAATGTGATTTGTAATGCAAAGGTTTATTGAAAAGTAAGACTGTATCACCACGGAGATCGTTAGTAAATTAGACAAATTACATAAGGATTGCATTCGAGTTGTTACCGCTGTCCCCCGAGCCATTCTGAGAACGGTAATTGGGAGGTGGGGAAGTTGTTCATATATTTAGTTGTACTCGACTAATTTTTTTTGAACGTAAATTTATTGATTCTTTCAGTGAATTGTTTTCAAAACAAATTTGTCGGGCACAACTGAATATATGAATACCCAAAAAAGGTGATAACATTAAAATCATGTCATTGTTCGTAAACCTTTGTTCAAGGACACCTAAACTTTTTTTGTGAACAAATTTGATAAATTGTAAACTTAGTATGATAGTAAAGCATTGCTTGAATTGGCTACAGAATCATAACGCTGGACCTGGTCAAACATTCCAGAATTGTGGCATAGCATTGCAGAAATTTTGGCTCTTGACGAAGTATACTCGCATTTCGAGTCTCGTACCTAAAATAAGACGTAAATTTTCAAAGCAATTATAATCCCGTCCATCTTCCACTAAATCCAAGTTGGAAAACATGCCAGAAAGAACCGTGGTATATGGTTGCAGTAGCACTGCGAAAATACGATAGAATATTGCAATGTTATTTAATTGCAAGTGTAAGCTGTGTTTCACAAGGCCTTGCGTCAGGCCTTACCCGAACATTATTCTACGTCTACTGTATATCAAATTCGTTGAAACAACATATATAGGTGTATTTTAACACCTTTAAACGCGTGTGATTACGTATATAAACGCGTGTGTATAATTTATTGAAATTAAACGTACAAAGACAGTGGGTTAGAAACAATGAAATTATTTCTGCAGTGTCACTTTTTTGGGGACACCAAGTAGAGTTTTGTGATTTTAGCGATTCTTTTGGAATGTAGCTAAGCTAAGGAAACCACGAATATATAAAAGTTTGCAGAAATTTGCTATTAAGGAAAGTTTTTACAAGAGTGACCGCTTGGGAAAGGTTTAGGCGGTTTTTTAGCACGATATGTAGATGATGAAACTCGTCAACATGCTCTGGGCAGTTGCGCTATTCTAGTTTCGGCGTTAAATCCAAACTTTTAAGTGTATGATTTTATTTACAGTTTTGCTGATTCATCGTTTATTCTTGCGACAACGCAGCCTGAAAACTTGCCACTCGACCGGGAGAGGAAATTGCCGTGGAAAGACTTTACACTTGTGCAATGTACAAAAAAAAAACCATCCAGAAATTTGAATGTAATTGGCAAACACCAGCTTTCAACACAGGCTTTCCACTAAGCTGGATTTGCTATTTAATGTTCATAGATAAAATAGAAATTTATCATTTGAAATGTGTTAACTGCATTTTTATACAACGGGTCCTTTAACATATCCTTAAACATTTATTCTCTTTTCAATAAAGGCGGGATTGTACCATTTTAAAGTGTGTGTTAATCTCAAAACGACAAATGTTTTTTTTTATATCTAGGCATTTATTTTTGGAACACGAATATTCAAATGATTATACGTCCAACAAATAAGCTGTGTTCATTTATTTCGACCTATCCGGCTAGAACAGATATTAATGCTTGCATATTTACTTTGGTTTCGTTTGCTTCTGTCACGCTGTAACATATGTTAAAACAAATTTCAAACGCGCCTTATAGTGACATAAACGTGGAAGGAGTAAATCGCATAAACATGCATCTTGTGTAATGAAAGGCTTAGAAATGATGAAGCTCATTATTAGTCTTTCGAAAAATCAATTACATCATGGAATTGTTTTCATGTTTTCGTTAAGATTTATTAATCAAAAGTCGGAGTATATTGTCGTAGTAACATAATTCCAGAAAAACAGTACCTTCACCATCCTATGGCGACTCTTGTAGCTGACGTAACAATGCCATTCTTCTTTTTACAAGCTCACTTTCACTCTCGCTAGATGAAGTACGTCCATCATCCTGGTCAAAACATTAATTTTATTTGCACACTTAATTGTTTTTGCCAAATACGAAATTTTTACCATATTCGGTCGGATGAGCATAAACACACACCCCTGTTCAGGAGTTAACAACTATATACAGCAGGTGGGAAAGTTGGTTCATCAGAACAAATCTATTAAAAACTTGCATGTAAGACCACAACTACACACAATGCGACATGACACAAAAAATAAGATGAAAAGTCATGCATGAATGATATAAAGGACGAAGTTTAGCTAAACAACTAAAACAAAAGCTGACTTAAAAGTAAAAGAAAAGAAATTCATCAGCGAAAATCAGAACGAGCTTATTTTAATAAGAGAGTAGTAAGTATGTTTCGTCCAGCTTGTATTTATGCAGTGCAGCACAACTACCCGATCCTAATGAAGAAAAAGTGCAATCACACACTTTACGATCAAAAGTTCTTTTGTAAACATTGTAAACAGTAACACCTTCTAATTTTCTTTCTTTTCATTGCTTTCGTCATTTCCTTGTAAAAACTATTTGAGATCACGCTTTCTTGTAAATAATCACTTAGCTGGATAATGACTTTGAAAGAAAGTCGAAGTACTGCTTCAAATTTTGTCACTTGTTGTTATAACTCGAATCTTGAATTTACAAGATGATGTTTTTTGAAGAGTGTTCTATCATTTATTTTTTGAAATTGTCGGCTGGAAAAGGATTTATGCACATTAAGACTTGCTTTATTTGTTTGTAGATGTAGATCGTCCAGGTTAGTAGAGTCTAGAAAAGGGTTGTTGTGGTGTTGATGTTGACTGACGTTTTGACAACTTTAGCGGTAGTCATCTTAAGGGGCCAACAGTCATTTTTCTCAGGACTCAACTAACCTGGACAATCTACATCTAGAAACATGTAACGATACTCCGGGGTTCAAACCATTCACTCTAAGACTTGCTTTGTTCGAAATCTTTTTTGTCAAGTTTTTTTGTTTCTACGAGCCATTTTTAAATAAAGGGAAATGATTTAGTTATTTAGGTACCTTCGTATTTCTCTTTGTTTCATGATCCGAACGTGATTCATCTGAATCTTTATGAGGTTTCCTTTTCTGTTTTTTCTCATTTTTCCTTTTCTTTTTATCATTTCGCTTTTCTTTTTTGCTTTCTTTACTACTTTTTTTTGCTTCTTTTTCGCGTGTTTTTTCATCGTCATCCGTTTCGCGATCGTGATTTTTGGCGCGCTTGCGATCTTCATCGAGTTGTTTGTCTTCATTTCCGCGACCTTTTTCTCGAACGCGGTCTTTCTCGCGCAAACGCTCTTCTTTTTCACGCGAACGTTCTTTGTCGCGCGAGCGTTCTCTTTCACGTGATCGATCTTTTTCTTTGAGTTCATCAGATTCAGATCCTGACGATGGCTGATTCAACCAAAAAGAAAATATTAATTCCGCCAGGTAACACATGCTCGATCAATGCACATCAAAAGTTAGCAAACACTTACTGAGTGACGGCGTTTCTTCTTCGCTTTCTAAACAGAAAAACGAAAAAAATTCAACATAAAATAGGCATTCTTAAAACTTCTTACAACAAACAACCTTTTTATCCTTCTTATGTTTTCTTTTGCTGGAAGCTTCTCTGTCTGAAAAAGAAAGGATGAAGGACATACTTTTCAAGCTCTTTTATTGACCAACCTTTGAAAAGTATTGGGTTAATATAGAACTTTGTAGAGCGTACGAGCTACCTCAAAATTTACGCTTAACTACCCTCCCTGAGACTAAAATTAAACCCTAAAAAATAAGACATGGAAGGATGGGGGAACAAATTAATATGATTTATATACATACCAGAGTCTGATTGAGAGGAAGCAGAAGGTGATCTTGACTTTCGGCGACGCTTTCTTTTATGTGTTCTCTCTTTGTCTGATTCATTATCAGACTTTGTGGAAGCCTACCACCAAGACGATAATTTTTTTGAAATTGTTTGCTTCAGTCTTTCTTATGTAGTTTTAAATGCGTTAAAGTAAAAGTTACCGAAACAGATCTTGAACGCTTTCTGTGCTTCTTATTTTTCTTGGCTTTCTTATGGCTTGACCTCGAAGAATGATGATGACCACATTCCTAAAGATTATATATTCAACCAAATGATATAATAGGAAATGTTAGCAAAAAAGGTTATAAAATGCTGCTGCTGACGAAACTATAAAGATGGGATCGCACTTGATAAAACCACAAGTTTAAACATCAAAATACACCTGATCAACACCATAGAATGACGTAAAGAAAAACTCAACTCTTAGTATTAGACACAACCTAATGAAGACCCTAGATTGGGGAAAATCACGACTCAAGTTTTAACAACAGATCACTCCTGATGAAGACGGTAGAGTGGAACATACAAGGGTCTATCGTTTCGAAATAAGATCACTCCCCATGAAAACAGTAGGAAAGATAAAAAAAGATGACTTACGTAAAATCGTTAGTACCTGGATTAAATCTGCAATGTACTCCTTAAAAAGTCTTATTCGTTCGGCTTCTACAGTCATTGCTAGAAACGCCGGCTCACTAACAAATCTTTCACGAACCTACACGCATACAAGAAAACGTGTATAACAAGAATGTTTACTCTTTGTCCTTGGGAACGGTTGCCTTTGCCATTAAAAAGTACATAACAAAAATTTATGCATTGTGGCTCGAAAAGAAGGAATTAAGGCAAAGGGGTGTATTCTTGAGGCCAAACGTTGACTGACAATGGGAAATTGTGAGAACTTTTGTAATGTTACCCACGTTTGACTAAAAAAGTTCTGACTACAAAACTCGATATTGTTTAATTTTCTCATTGACCTAAATGACCATGTCTAAATTTACACAATAAAGTTTCATTGTTTACCACGTCCCAAGAGCTGTTTTCATCTAATTCTGGGGCAGATTTCAGCATCTGTTTGAATGCCATCTCTCGTCGTCGTAACTGTTGATGATCATAAAAAATATTTGCGTAACATATTTGCGTTGAAATATGCCAGACTTCTACAATAAGAATAGCAACTCTTGGGGCTTACTCATTTAGTTCGTTCAGATTAAGTATGGCAATAAATGATTTGGTCAAATTGAAACGATCAAGAAGATCATAGAAAAAAATGCCAGAACTAGTGCTACGATATCGTCAGCGATATTACCCATAACGTTTCTTACGCTTATGTTTTAAACCTTTTCAACTTACATCTTTTTCCTCTCGCTTAACTCTTTCCTTTTCCCGAGCTTCGGCTTTGTCGTATAGCTGAAATTTTATAAAACAGTTTCATCAAAACGGTTGGCAAAAGTTCAAAATTGAGATGCTGGTCATCATACGAAAAGCTTTCCACTAAAATCATGACATGACGCATGAAAATACTTCACATAACAAAATTTTACAAAAGATATAGTTCGCAAAGTGTTGGTAGAGTCTAATCCACTGATCTCGAAATAAGACTGAATCAAGCAACTCTGTATTTGTGATAAACAAATCCGAAGCCACAGTCGCCATCACTAAGGGACCAACAAATTGAAAGATTAATTTGATTCAACAAACAAAACTATGAAAAATTTAGCAAAATCATTCTTTAAAATAATGCAGAAGGTGAAAAACAACCTTTGGGGCGATAGTAAAGAGAGTCAGAAAGAATAATCGGCTTTATAACAACATACTGCAAACAGGTTTCACCCCGAATCACTCGTAAAAAAGGTTTTTAATTTTAAAGGATTGATCACATTGTGATCGTAAATGAGAGTATTTAATCAGTTAGTATTCCTGAAGTACAATTCCGACGATTCTAGGTTTTTCCATGAAGTTCTGGGCTATTTTCCATAGTTTTTCCATACCACAGTAGAGTTACCGATGACAAAAACCGCTGCATTTTGATCATATTTCATCATATTTCATTGAATTTTTAGCAATTCTATAAACTGATTTATCCCTCAGTTATGCTCATGTAGTTACATGTTGAAAATTCAAGATTATTCGCGTACAAATCCCTAATACAATTGCCCCTTATTTTCGCAAGTTGGTCCCTAAGCAATGGCGGCACTCTTTCTAATTTTCGTTTTCAATTTTTGGCTAGATGCTTGATCCAGTCTTATTTCGAGATCAGTGGTCTTATCCATATCAGGATAGCGATACAATTATTGTTGGCTATTGACTTACACCAATTATGTACTTACGTTGTTGAATGTCATTTTAATGTTTCCAGGATCCAACGTCGCAGATCTATCGTCTTTATGTATCATGTTAAAAAATTGCTCATATTTACTGTTTAGTTCGACTGTGTAATCTTCATCCTAAAATCAAAGAACTATAAGTTTAAACATTAAAACACTCCTGATCAACACCATAGAATGAAGTAAAGAAAAATTCAACTCCTAATATTAGACACTACCTAATGAAGACATGAGGATGGATGGATGGATGGATGGAGAAGATGTTATAGTTTTCAAATCACTTGTAAACAATGGAAATAACGCAAAGTTTAATTTTTACTTGAACATAAGAACGCAGAGGGAGAGAATTGTGTAATAGCGTCAGATACCTTCATAATTTCTTTAATGATTCGTTTTTCTTCGTTAAATTTCGACTTCAAATCTTCGACATAAAACTTGAAAAGGTCCAGCGGTGTTGATCCTTCGATAAAATAAAAAAAAAAATAAAAAAAATTGTCGTCACATAACAAGTCACATCAACACATAGAATGTTGACACTTATGCTTCCAATCAAAAAATCTCATCTTTGGACCAATTGAATTAAAAATAATATACTTAAGACAGCAAATTGAATTCATGTAACAATTAAAGAGTTTTTTTTTAACAATTCTGCTTTTTTGTCTTAAGTACTAAACCTCGAAAAACTGTCATAGGCTCTCTTTTGAGCATCACAACGATTCAAATTGACATCAGAACATAGACAAATAAATAGCTATCGTCAACGACACTATACAATGGTTAGCTATATAATAGTTTAGGACGGCAACCAGAAATGGTTAAACTGCAAGATATAATTTTCAAGAAAAACGATTTGTTTTATGTGCTACAATTTGCGACACTGTTCCCACATAATTCTTGGAAAAAGAATTATTTATATCAAAAAACACACACGAACTGTCAATAGGAAAAATAGTTGCCCACATTATAATTTGATAAGCCAATAAAAACGTTCTTTTATCAAATATCTTGACAAATCATTGCGATGCAAAATATGTCTACAGGTAAATATTTCATTGTCATCATTCTCAAAACCTGGCAATCATAAGACATAACATTTATTCTTTCCTACCTGGCTGTCCAAGCATTTTACTGAATCTGAGATCAGCGCTGATCGTGGGATACATTTCAGACCACAGCGACATTGAATTAAGTTCATTTGTACTGTGAAGTTCGTCTAAAAGGGCCTAAATAACGGTTGAAAAAATTTGTATTATACTTTCGATGAGAGTATTTTTGAATTTTGTAATCAACTCCTGATGAAGGTATTTTTCATAGCATCAGAGGACACTGTAACTTAAACCACGAAGCAAAAATTAGCCAAAACGATTCCAAATACTTTATAAAATAGAAACAATAAAACGCTTGAAGTAATTGGTCGATAGCCGTGTTTAGCCGTTTTAGCCTGTGCAAAACATATCTGAGCTCAACCAAGTGAAATAATTCAAAACAATTAATCAGTCAAAGAGAATTTGCACATCGATCACCAATACATTTTAGAGGAAAAATTAAAACGTTTGTTTCTGCTCAGCTCTCGAGTTCTCCCAAAGGTCCCCCCAGTTTGTATACGCCTACGCAAACACAGTAAATATTTTTTTTTCTTAAACCAAAGTTCGAGATCTGAAATAAAAGAACCAGTCAAAACATTGAGGGCAGGGGGGATGGTGCAAATTCAGTCGTGCTATGTAAATTTCAGGACATAACCACTTGTTCATATTTAAAAAATTAATGTTTTACAGTGAGTGAAAACCGAAACAAATACAAGTACTAAGTCTAATCAGGAAGTAACAGTGTATTGGCCTGAACCTGCAGGCGGTATCCTCTTACAGGATGTGTCCGTAAGTGGACGTTGGACTGCACGTACATTGCAATACAAAACTTGCACGTTGGCTACAAAACTATCCGGACATTTTAGCTATATAGACGGAATAAAATAACAAAGGTAAATTAAGGTCCGAGCCAGACAACAATATAGGTACAACAACACGCACCAACGGATAAAAGTAAGATAGCTAAGTCAGCAAATTGACCTCGACACTCACTACAATGAAACACTTTGTACATTTTCTCACCAAAAATCCTTCTCTGTTTTTGCGTTGTTGTCTGCGCTTCTTTGCCTTTTCTTTCTGTTTTTCTTCAATCTGTTCTTGTTCTAACGTCCTGATATGATCTTCAAACGCTATCAACATATCCTCTTTATCCATATCTACAAATAGAATTGTTCATGATTACCATTTAGTTTTACATACGATTCAAACCTTCCGATAGTAGACATTAAATTTTTAATGATTACATATTCCTCAGGGTTAAAAAATAAATAAATACGGCCTAACAAATTAAGTTTTGTTTGGAAGGCCAAAAAAATTGGCGCCTGCAATTTCCAATATTAATTTTCCAAACGTAGCAATATAACATGATAGCAAGTACATATATTCCATTGCAATTACTAAGCCCTCATTAACCGAGCTCGAGGTTTTACGGAGAAAGATCGGACAGAACTTTTTTTTGTATAGACCGAGCTGTACGACGAGGTTTGTTAGTGTCGAATGTTAGTCGAGTGTTTTACCTAAAAGCGAACCTTCCGAATTTCGCCGGCTATTTCAAAATTTGTTTACCAATCGTCTCTAAAATATGGCTTCTAATATCATTCAAATATACAAAGTATTACTCGTGTCTTTTGTTGCCGCAAATATACCAAGGAATAAGCAAAGTTGGTAATGATATCTAAGGGGGTGTTTACATGATCCCGGGTAGCCAAGATTCAGCGAAGCGTTAAATGATTTTGGAAAATGGAAACGAGTCAATATTTATCATCAGGCAAATCTTCTTCAGCAATTTCATAATATTCTGATTTCATAAATACGCAAGCATTTAAAATGAAAACAACTAATTTGGCCTAATTTTAATATTACCATTGGAATAACTTGTGGCACTTTACGAACAATTGTAATGTTTCACTGAATCCCGGTTAGCCAGGATCATGTAAACAGTCCCTAATGTATACAAAGAATTTTAATGGTTTTTCTCTCAACAGTTCTTCTTAACATCCGAAACATTAAATAAAGAACTCTTATCAAGTGTAATGCTCAAACCATGCAGGCAGCTACAACTCAAAAACATAAATAGACGTCAAGTGCATCTTAAATGCAGCCATTCATCTTAAGTCATCAACATTCTTAGGCAATTTCATATTCTGTGTATGTTGTTCCTTCAAAAATCACCATAAGCGAATCCAGAGTGAATCTGAATACATTAATGACGACATATTTTCTATTAAAAATTTATTAGCAAATCCTATTAGCGATATTTTAGTCCTTAAATATTTTTAGAAATATTTAACCAACAATTTTTTTGTCATAGTTTGTTTATTTAGAATGAGCTACTAAAACGCACAATGTCTTACCCTAGATCTCCAACTGAAAATCGTCATATCAATCAAATACCTTTAATACGATCATCTTTGATGTAAACAGGCATATCTCGAAGTTCATCCAAAGCCTAAGATAGAAATATCAATTCAGGGACGGCACAAAATCAATAATTGGCCGGGGGGGGCTATATTCATATATTATACGTTATCTGTAAATACAATTGATTTCAAAAGAACCTAATTAAGTAGAGCATGAATATTATATATGAATATTAGCTCCCCTGCCAATTATCAGTCCGCCGTCTCACCTGGAATGGCTGTGTATCACATACGTATAGAATTATCAACAAGTATTTGTTTATGATAAACACTAACGGAAAAATCCTCCACCACAGATTTTTCCCCGAGAAACATTTCTAATCTATGCAAATGTGTCCGTTAAGAATTTACATAAAGCATTGGTTCACAAAAGCTCAAGCCTAGAGTCTCGTGTAATCCTTCCTGCTTTATAGAGAACATAACCTGGCGCCACGTAATGTTTAACAAATAACGCTGGAGAGGCAAGCTTACAAAAAAATCTAAAAAGTAGTTGAAGAAATCAACATTTGTAAGACCTCTCTGCATGCAAACTACTTTTAGCCACTGCATCCTATAATTTAAGAAGAGCGCCCTCAATTTCAAATCCTGCCAGTGAATATTACGTGAAGTAAACTGCACCACACAAAATATTTTGCCTTTAGTTTAAACTTTACATTTAAGGTAAACTCCTTCCAAGGAAGTAATTATTTCAAATATTCCAACTCAAATCACAAAAAATAAAAATTTTGTTTATAATACACTTACCTCAATCCACGTGGTCCTATATGTTACATTAGACATACTATTGAAGACAGAAATCATGAATTCCCTGTTTTCAATTCTTATTTCTTTCTCGCGTTCTTTTTCTTTCTTGGCTAAAAAGAAAATAACGTCTTCAAACACGTCCTTGCGTTCTCGTTCCCTCACTGCGTTCCACGCCTCTTCCCCGTCAAACATTTCGGCCGCGCGTGCCCAGCGAACTGACGACGACATCTTTGGATGATACTCGAGGAACTTGTGAAGATCGTCGCGAGCTTTCCGCGCCCTCTGACGGATCTCTTCCTTATAAGGGTGAGTGGAAAATTGCATTTATTTCGATGTTGATCTTCTCTACACACTGTGCTTGAAGTCAATTATTGGCTGTTGACAAGTGGCATTATAAATAATTCTGACCATTTTTCCTTTTTCGGGGCAAAATAAGTGCTTTCCTTCTCAACCCGACTCAACTCGAGAATAAAAATCACACGCACTCATCAACCATGAAGTAATCTTTTCATATCTACGTCATACCTTTTCCTCGTTGGCTCGTTGTGTCTTGTATTCATTGAAAGCTTGTTTCTTTTCATTCATTTTCTTCAATGCTCCATACCTTGTGTCAGCCACAATCATTTTCATTGCCGAGTCCCAGTTCATGGTTGATGATACACCCTACATTTATTAAGAAAATTAAGCCTATTTTCCACTAGCCACGTATTGTAACGTATCGTAGCTAAACGTAACACACGCATGCGCAATGTTACGTTTTGCTACGATACGTTACGATACGTGGCTAGAGGAAAACAGGCTTTACTCTCGTATGAAACGAGACTTCACGTACAATCGCAATTAACAACTGCAAGGAAGGTTCATCAAAAGAAAACAAAATCATCATCATTGATCAATTTTCAAATATGCTTTTCAAAAAAGTCCAATAGGTGATATTGATTTTAATGGTGTTGCAAAATTGACGTTGCTTCTCTGTAGTTGTTTCAAGTGAACTAAACATAAGTCACAAAAGTTTTTAAAACAACAGAGCTTCGCATTGAATATGAAAATAAGCATGTAACGAAAGTTTTAAATCAACAATCAAGCATTGTTTTAAGAGGAAGATAACAAGAAATTGTAGACATTTCAACTCGACAGTGGATACGGACATTTATGTCCAAAAAAGCAACCATTCTCAAGTCGAAAGTGCAAAATACCGCTGACGGCGGCTTACTACAAAACTTTTATTCAAGAAGACGCGAAAGTGATGAAACACGGAATACTTTTAAAATTGGTCGGTTTTATTATTTGCCCACGCATTCTAAATTATTAGACATAAATAAATTCGCTAAACATGGTTATTCCAGCTAACAAAACCATTGTAATTCTTCTTTCTAAAGGCCAGTCCGTTCACACAATCCGATTTGCCGAACCCAATTGTATCAGTTCCGATTTTGGGTTGCTTGTCTAGACGGTCCGATAATTTTGTTGGCGGATATTTTAAGAGATATTTATAGTTATGGGAGCAGACCACGTCTAAGTGTTTTTCAGAGTATTTTTCAAATATAATTTTTCGCGCCAAATCAAATTTGGGTAAGTTATGGAAAGTGAAAGTCTGGGGCTATTCGGGTTTCTTTTGATCTTGTCGGATAAGAATAGAACAAGTTCTCTTTCCGTCCGATTTTTAAGATTGACGTATCCATCTGTAGGAGGATCACTTTATATGTTCGCACAATCCGTTTTTTAAAATCCAAATAAAATCAGATGCAACAAATCAAATCATGTGAACGGGCCTTAAAAGAATTTGCACGATCAACACGATAAATGGAAAAACTACGTGGATAACGTGTATTTTGAATACAAAAAAAAAAAATACGAAAAAAACTAAAATCAAAAATCATATCGTCTAAAAGTACCTTTTCCTTCAGGAGTTCTTTAAAAGCATGTTTTGCCTCCTCTTTCGTTTCATATATGAAATCTTTCTTTGGATTTGAGACCGGAAGAGTACTGGGATCAGTCGCTTTCGTGGCACTAAAGCAAAACAATATGATCCTTCAGTTATACATCGAGTTTTGTAACCTGCGAAACTATATATGCAGACATGAGACAAACAACAAACATTTTGCTGCCATTTTTAGTCTTTAAATTCTCACGTGATTAAACAAAAAGTCTTCTATACAGGGAGATTTTCTTAAGTCCTGGTTGAATACACTTAAGATAGACTAAACAATACATAAGTATCGTACTAAATTGTCAAACCTCGTTTTAGGGTCTTTTTGCTGACCATCAACCTGCGAAACACCCTCAGCTTGAGATTTTTGCAACGCCTTCTTTGTTCTTTGTTCTTCCTCTTCTCTTTCTTCGTCCCGTTTCCTCTCCTCCCTTAAACGTGAAAACAAAATAGCTACCTAGACTATTGGATTTTTCGACCGTTTGTTTATTTATTAAAAAAACACATTAGCCGCTTCGTCCAGAGAAAGGCGTGTCATAGCGTGTTACTAAATTGAACATTTTAAAGTGCTTATGCAACGAATTTCGACCCCCTTATTTTTTTGCTAAATAAAAAGAAATTAACATCCTGACTTTATTATTCAAATCAGAAATAAAATTGAACTTTTCCATTAATAGTTACGATTGTGCAAAAGGTGCCATTTTTGGCACTTCCTGTGCAAACTTTAAAATCGCCATTTTACTAACTTGTGACGTCATAAGTGAAACACACTTCCAGTGTGACCCGACCAGTAATTTTAATTACTTTCAGTAATTTTTGGCCAATTTTTGCTATGTTTTGGTAATTAGAAAATTTTGGTAATTACTTTTGTAATTTTTTGAAATTTTGGTAATTTTTGACTTGGTAAGAATAAGATTCAGTTTCAAACTTTCGTAACTTTTAAATTGTTTGTTTTTCACGACAATGAAGTTTTGGTGTTTGCTCGTGTCAAACTTGCACGTTTTGAGCACAGTCTTGTTATGTATAAATAATAGTAAGAAAATTCTGTAAGTATGGAAACACTGAAGGGTTATTTCAAAGCTATGGAAGCACAATGAAAACAACCAATAAAATTTGTCGATATCTGGTTGGATTCTATTGTCGCTGTTTAGCATTTCGCATTATTTAGGTATGTCAGTAATTTATTATACCGTAAATAACGTTAAGTAAAGTAAAGCGGCTGTACTTAGATAGGGAGTTTATTAGAAAGAGACGTTTATGTCATTCCATCACCTTGAAAGTTTTGTTTCATTCTAATTCAAATCGAAAAGCCACAGTAATAATGATATTATCATAATGATAGGGGGTTTGTGCGTTTGTTCCTTCTCCCGGGTAGATAATTGGCGTGAAATTTCACCAATATAGCGGGAATTACATGCCGCACATGAAAATTGAGAAACTACCATAGATTTCGAAAGTTCATGAAGCGGATCTTTAAATGAGAATAAAGATCTTACCTTGAAAGAAGTAAAAATAATTTTAACTTCAATGTCAGTGCAGTAACGTTTAGTGATTTGTGTGAGTTTGCGTGCTCCATCGGTCAATGTTCGTATCACTCCAGTTTTGTAATTTAATGGTGTGAAACACTAAAATAATTTGTCAGTAGTCTTAAAATTTTGTCAGTAGTCCTAAAATCCACTCTTCTGACATTCTGACAACATTTGAACGAATCCATTACACACTAAGAAATAACAAACAAAACTATTCAATCTTAAAAACGGAACTTGGTCATTTGGCACATACATACGTAACATCATACCATCCAACACCAAGAGACCTGAAGAAATATAACAATCTACGGAGCATTCGCAATAACAAAATCATTTTTTTAAACCTGACAAGGCAATAGTGTGGTCATTCTGGACCGTCAGGTATACATTAATTCTTGCCTCACCATCATTAACAACATATCTAAGTTCAAACCACTCGATCATGTTCCTACAATTTCCCGTGATGCAAAGCTACAACGACTGCTACGTAAGTTCAAGAAAAAGAACTCTATTTACGAAAAATCATTTCAAGAAATGTTTCCTGGAGTTTCACAACCAGCTCGATTATATGATTTACAATATACCTCCTATCAGACCAATAGTTTCTTGAATTAATTCGTATAACTACAACTTAGCTAAATACTTCAGCTCTTTACTTCAACCCCTCATACCTAACGACCATTCCGCTTTAGATTCTTTCAGCTTTGTACATGAAATTTTTTTTATTTCTTATGACGTTGAAAGCCTTTTTACAAACATACCACTCAACAAAACCATGCACATTGCCATCGATTTAATTTTTACAATTATGTTTAAGGTTTTTAAACATAAATAATTGAAGTTAAAATTTTAAAGCGTACTATCAGTAATTTATATTTTACCAATATATTATGATTGAAACATGACCTATAGAATGAGCCTTATATAGGCTACAGCTATTAGATAACTTTTACATCTGACACTTTTAATAATCATCATGTATTTTTTACACATGCTCACATTGTATTGCAGAGATTCTCATTGTCTTAGTTGTGTATGTAATTTAGTATTTTTCCTGTTGCTGCTCTCTAATGACATTGGATCACTAATGTGTCATATCTGTAAAGTTATAAAAAGCACCTTAACAAAGCTCAAAACCTCAAACAAGATCGAGTTTAATGCGATTTTCCTGTAGATTTTCCTTTAAAGCGATTTACTCAAGAATCGTAAGACTAAAAAGGAAAAAGACCAAAATAAATCGCATTTATACAGAGTCGTGCCGTTGCTTCAATATTTCAAATCTAGCCATTACACAACAATGTTTCCGACAAAATATCATATATAAAAAATTATACTTTCACCTATCTGTTTCTAAATACTTATTTTAGCATATTGTAAAAAAATTTTGAGCAGGAATCATTTTTCAAGCCAAGAAAATAAAGAAAAACCAAGAGGAATGTGGCGTCCACCATATAAATCTATAGTTCGTATAAAAACGTGTTTCACTTACGACGTCACAACTTATCAACATGGCCACTTGAAAAGTTCGCACTTTAGATGCATTATTAAGTAGTAAATTAACTAACTTCTACTCAACAGAAAATATTCATTTATACATCAATTTATTCTAAAACTATGGATTTTTAGTCAAACGAGAAAAAAAAAGAGGGGAGGGGGTCGAAATTCATAGCATTAACACTTTAATAGAAACTCACTCTTCCAATTCCTCTTCTCTCTTGATTCGCTCTAAAAACAAACAAGTTTAACTCAGTTAAATATGCGCTCTTTCTTCTTAAATTAAAAAAAAACCCATTTGACTACGCAGTTCAAAACCAAATGAGAATCACCAGATTTCAGGTGACTCAACGTGATCCTGTTGAGTCACCTGAATTTTTCAGGTTTATGAGACAATTGCTTCAATTGTCCAGCAAAGTGCGAAGATCATATCTTCACTTAATTTCAAACACCGCACTGCATATAACATTCTTTCATATGACATTCCTTTCACGGGAAAACATGAGCCCAACAAATTGACCTGCTCTCCACTGTGTGACTTCATAGCTCAGTTGGTTAGAGCACTGTACCGGAATCACCAGATTTCTTAGTCTTGGAAACAGTTGCACGAAGCTTATATTTAACTGGATAGTAATCTCTTCGATAGTTTTAAAAACAATCCAAAATTGAAAAAGCTATGTTTTAAATTATACAATCATCTCAATCAATATAACAAATAGTCAGTTTTATAGCAAAGCTTGAAGACAGACAAGAATAATAATGGATAAAGAAGATTTACTCCATTAAAGTGCCTACAGTACCGTTCACGTATATCTCAACACTTTTTTGCGTATAAAATACGCGTATGATATGCGTAACATATACAATGATTATGTATGTATGCATGCGCGTGCAGCATTCAAGCTATTTGAAGCATTTATACGTGAAGCATTTAGCAGAGTTCCCCCTAATATCTGGGGATCACTGGATCAATGATGTCAGGAAAAAGGCTTTCACCTTTTGGCTAAGGAAAGAATTATTATTCGTAGAAGATGTAACGAAAAAAATGTTTAATAAATCTTAGCGGTTCCATCGGAGCGTTAAATAGATAAAAAACGTTTAACAGAGAGGAGCGTTTGTTGCATTAGTTTAAAACAAGTGAAAAGAAAACAATAACTAAATGCGTTCATTTGATAGGGAACGTTTACTGAATCATTTAAAAGCAATTGAAGTCGCCTTTATTGCTTATTATATGCATGTCGCACAATAAAACAATTCTCCCTTCCTTCCAAAGAACAATAATTCGTTACTTAACATAAGATGAAAGCCTTATTCCTGACATATTTATCCAGTTATGAGTGAGAACTGTGGTAACTATTTCACGTATAAATAGGTTGAATGATGCATGTCCATACGTACATAATCAGTGTATTTGCTACGCGTATCATACGCACATTATATGTATTTGTATCCTACGCGTACCATATGCGTATCATACGCGTTGCGTATGTTAAGATATAGGTGAGCGGTACTGTATAGGATTTTTATGGTTTTGAGTAGAGCATAAAAAGTTAGTAAATAAGTTTCAAAACATTTTTTTATTGAATAGTTTTTGAAAAATCAACCTTTATAGATTGCAATTTCGGCTTGTTTCAAAAAATTTCGGTCGTCTTGGGGGGACTGGGACTCAGGAACGCATCCTTTGACATTACTATAAAATACAGTACCGCTCGCGTATTTTTTAACATACGGGTGCGCGTATGAAACGCGTATGATACGAAAAACATACGCGTATGATACGAGAACGATACGCGTATGATACCAGAACGATACGCGTCCATACGAGAATGTTTTTCGTATCATATCGTATTAGTGTGCATAGTTTTAAGTAGTTCTTTAAAATTTTTAGCAATAATTTTGTTAATGTTATGTCATATCTGCTACAGATAACATGTTTTACTAAAGGTAATAGTAAAGTTTCGAGTGCAATTACGGATTGACATACATGAGTTTTTAAAGTTAGCAGTGAAATAGCGGGAGTCCGTGTTAAGATATGAACATCAAACAAAAAGACATAAACAACATAGCATTGTATGCATAATTAAGTAGATATGACACATGTCAGATTAAGGGCCTGATTATATGGAGCCGAGTTACCCGGCTGAGCGAGTTACTCGCCAAGCCGGGTAACTCGGCCCTTATATAAAATGAATGCATTTCCCGGTGAATCGTTTATATCACACATCCGAGTAACTCGCCTTGCCGGGAACTCGGTTTGTGTTAGCGAGTTACCCGGCTGGGCGGGATGAATTTTTCCATATAAACACATTTGCCGGGTAACTCGGCGAGGCGAGAAAATTGGCTCTGTTGGTACGCATGTGTACTACGCCTTGTACTTGCAGCATTATTATACAAAAACACACACATATCATAATTTTCAATTTTATATTCACCCATTCCATTTTTGCTGCGAAACTGTGAGGCTTTTTAAAATCTCGCGCCTTTACTCGAAGTTAGCATAGCCAAACTTCATTTAAGACAAATGAACGGAAGTACTAGCCGAGTTACCCGGTGCCATATAAACAGTCACTTTGTCAAACCCGGTTGAGCGAGTTACTCGCTCAACCGGGTAACTCGGCTCCATATAAACAGGCCCTAAGTGATATTCGTACTTGTTATTGTAAATATCGTTGTTCGCTGATACTTAACTTGTTATTTGTTCCACAATAAAATCATAAATATTTCACGTACAATCCGAATGTCATTGTCGAATCACGAATAATTTAACAGTCCGAAGGATAAGTATTTACAGTGCAATTAAACACTTCAGCGATGCACTACACATTTTCACAGTGCATTTTATACATAAACTGCACTACAATCAACCTATCACTTTATATGCGTATAAAATAAAACGATACGCATATGATACGAGAACGATACGCGTATCATACGCAAAATTATGTTAACAAATACATGAGCGGTACTGTATTATATAAATTACAATTCCGGTAGCTAGTTGGGAAAATTGCATTTTTTTTTACGTAACGGTCGCTATGTCGAGTTCAGAATTGGTTTCTAGTTTCGTACGGTTGTCCTGATTATGAAATGGAAGATGAAACATTTGAAACGACATCAAATTTGCGGGTGAAGCTGGACAGCATCTTATTCTTGGAGATGAAATTATCCCATACGCAGACGAACCTCTAGCCATATATATGCCTTTAGCTGACAAATTGTGGATTGAAGATTATGAAAGACGACTACAAGATAATGCAAGACGAAGAGGAAAAGAAGAATTAAGCCATGGTTTAAATGGGCAAAACACAATATATTGGTTAGATGTTATATTCCCGTTATATCGTGTCGATGAAAGTTGTTTAGATCACAATATAAACAATAACAAACATCAAGATTGCAACTGGTTTCTGGTGCACATGTTTGAATTGCAATAAGAGAATTGTTGGTTGATGCAAGAGAATGTCGCTGCTGTAATGAGATACCGAAGTGCATTCAACCAGTCCTAAATTTACAACTTGAGTGCGTGACATACGAGTATATGCACACAATAGCCAAATTTTTCTGGCAACATTTGATATCGTTTCAAATGTTTCATTTTCTATTTCACATTCAGGACAAACGTACGAGCCCTTGTTAAAGCTAGAAAGATATTTCGAGCTCTAAATAGCGACCATTTTGTAAGAAAATGCAATTTTCTCAATTAGTTTACTGAATTGTAATTCATTTTATAGTAAATGACAAAAGACGCGTTCCTGAGTCCCAATCCCCTAACACGACGGAAATTTTTGCTTTTTCCATCTTCAAAGCTTTAATTTTCAAAACTACTTAAGTAAATCAAAATATGTTTTGAGACTTATTAAGTAACTTTTTATGCTCTACTCAGAACCATAAAAATCCTGTAGGTGATAAAGGCACTTTAAAGAATGTATAACCGCCTAATTATTACATTTGAAAAATAGGCCCCGGGTAGGTGTTATGAAAAAGTAGACACGTTGAAATGTTGGGTTGACTCGCCCAATATTGGAGTTTGGTCTTTTCGATAATATCATACATAAAGTAAATGGTTTGAACCCGGGAGTATCGTTATATGTTTGTAAATGATGATCGTCCAGGTTAATAAAGTCGTGAGAAGGAATGTTTTTGTTGTTGTTGAATGACGTTTCGACAACCTTAGCGGTAGTCATCTTCAGAGTCAAATGAGGAGTAAATGTCAGGTTAGCCGCATTTGTTATCTGGTTCTTACGTCATTGTATTGTGTGTAAAGGAAATGTGTATTGTCATTGTGAATTAGTGTGAAGTGAAATATTTTATTTTTAGTTGTGATGTGTGATTTAGGTGTGATGTTTTTGGTTGTAATGTGTGGGTGTCAATTGTGTATTGTCATTGTGAATTAGTGTGAAGTGTAATGATTTTAGTCGATCGTTTGTTTGTATTGTGAATAAGTCGTTTGTAAGGTGCCGGTAATTGCTGTGATCTGTTCAGGGGGGTTTGTTCCAAGTTGGTATACCAACTTTCTAATGTAAGCCGTATAATTGCACCTTTAAGTTCCTCGAGTTCTTTTGGCATTGTCCATGTCGATTCTTTAGTTTCGCTGTTATGGTAATAAGTTCGTCCACCCTCTGCGCTGTGTTCCTTCCATGAGCACGAGTCAAGAAGACGCTTAATGAAAACACAACAATACGTAGGTATGGAAGTTTACAATGTGTAAATATAATACAGGTTAAAATGCCACATTACATCTTAACAAATATGACAAATTTCATTTCAGTTAACAAGTATATTTCAAAATTGTGAATTGATAAACCCTTATTCTTACCTCCGCATTAGTTTTGAGTTCGTTAGGTTTCTGCCAAGAAGATTGTTTTGTCTCAGAGTTATAATAATAAGTCCGACCATCAGGTGCTTTATGCTCACTCCACACCAAAGCTGCTTTTTTCTGGTAGAGATGATTAACAAATTACAGACATAAACATAATGGCAATTATATAAGATTACAAGCCTATCAAACCAACCCTTTCTGCCCTTAGCTTTCTTCTCTCCTCCTCTTGCTCTAATTCTTCTTTACTTTTCTCTGATATTATGCTTGCTGTTGGGACAGCTTCATGAACAGGTGATGCAGGTTTTGCAGGCTCAGACTGCTGTTGTACAACAGGAACTAAAAAAATTTGGCAATAAAAGATTGGCCAGTTCGAGCAAAAAAAACACTGAATTTAAGAAGATGAATATCCAAGTTTTTGGAAGACATTACACAGGAGTAAAGTATAAGTTTTAACAACAAATCATTAATCACTTTTGACACTACATAGACTAGTCTAGACTTATAGTCTAAATTTTCAACATCACACTGTTACAAAGAAAAACAATTGAGGCAAGTGCAAATGTACTCGAGTTTTAAAATTAGATCACTCCTGATAAGGACTTTTAGATAGAAGATGAATGGATAGAAGATACCTCTGTTTTGGACATAGCTAGATACTCAAAATAATTCAGATATTTAGTTCCATAGCTAAAACTTACAATTTTTCAAATACTATTTCAGAATGTCAAAAAGCACAATACATGATGAACCAAAGATATCTTTACATTTTTACATTATACAATTTGTACTTGCGGTGTGCAAATTGTTAATACTATTTCTTCGACACAAAACATTCGGTCAAAATTTATATTCACCCAGCATAACTTTACGTGAAAAACACAAATCCAGTTTAAAAAGTTGGAAATGTTAGAATGATATGACATAGGGATGAAATTTTTTTAAAACATGGTATTTTTTACCAATGTAGTAATTATGATGGCTTACGTAGAGTAAAGAAAATGCGCAGAAAGATCAAAGTAATCGAAATGAGATCACGCATACGTATATACAGAGGTATAGACTCTTGGAAAATGTTCTACGAAACAAGACCCGCGTGGAATAAGAAAAAACAAATGGGTATTTTACGTACGTACGTTAATATTCTCTGATACAACTGGCAATGAAATTTTTAAAATGCAGGAATTTTTTCCCGTAAAATAACTGTTGTTAAAAGACGTTCAAAACAGGCATCGCACACTAAAAATACTCATCGGGAAAAGAATTTAATCATCCCGTGTCAAAAAATGGTCTGTATTGTACAAACTATCAAAATTTCAAGCAAATTGGGGCAGGGAAGCGCTGGCTAACACGAGATCTTTAATATCATAAAAATTGATTAAAAAACTCAGCTTGATTAAAAAAATCAAGCAAAATCAATCACCTGTAGTTGCCACAGATGAAGCAGCTTGGTAAGCCATTGCCTGCATTGCATGTGGGTTGAACATAGGCATACCAGGCATTGCTGGAAAACCTGGTGCTTGAGGCATACCAGGAAATCCGGGCATTGCAGGTGGAGGAAGAAATGTCTGAGCCATAGGGTTCATGGTTTGCGGCATCTAGAAGACAAAGTTAGAAGAGAGCACCAAACAACACATACTTGAACGAAATACATATTCATTAACAAATTCTGTATATTCTTTAGTATAATCTCAGAAGCTCCAGATTAATTACGTATTTAAAATACGTATTCAACAAAATTTTTATACGTAATATGTCGAAACATGTTTATTAAAAAAATTTTGTGGTTAATTTTAAATGTATAAATATTCTTAGGCCTGTTTTAAATGTCGAACTTTACATGCAGTTGAGCGCTGACCAGAAAAAGTTAAAAACCTCTCAGGTGGTAGCACACGATCTCTTCTGATTACAGCTCAATAAACAGAAATCTGTTAATCTACTTTTACGTCGTGCATATTACAAATTGTACGAAATCAAACAAGGCTCACAATAACGATACGTCAACGGACAATGACCTGACAAAAATGCTTGTTCACCTGCCAATTTTTTACTTTTCTAGTAATTATAACCAGTCACATATTCACATTTTCCCCAAAACTACTATAATAAACAGATGCACGCGTAGTAACGTATGCAGTACTAACAACGTCAAACACGAGAATCGGTAGTCTCCAAAATTTTTTGGAGTAAGTTATTTTTGTGAACTTGGTGACAGGTCGAAGATCGTCTTTGACCTAGCAAAAGGAAGTTGACAGGTTGTTCGGCCATTATTTAGAGCCTTAAAGTGCCAATGTCACTAAATAGTTTATTGTTGTAAATAAAAGATCTCCAAAAGCTGTAATTGACTCTTTTTATCTTTATGTTTAATTGCTTAGTTTTGGATGTATTGAAGTTTTTGTAATATGTAGGTAAATAAGGGAGCATACTGCATGAAACATGATTTTAAGATATACTGTATTGATTAGGAAACAAAGGAACATACGCTCCCTAATTCACATATCACAAAACCTTCAACAACTTCAATTGATGTGATCTTTTACTTAAAACAATCAACAATTTTGTGACATAGGCACTTTAATAAAGCTAAATTCATAAGGGCAGATTTAACAGCAGTTAAAGCATTGCCTATCCATATGAATTTTCAACAAAATGACCGCAAGTACAAAAAGCAGTTTGTAATTACTTAAAATTTATGTAATTACAAAAACGTACGTACCATCATACCAGGAATCATGGGTGGCATTGGAGGAGGTGGGAAACCTGCTGGATTTGTTGAGGCAGGATGACCAGCAGACTAAAATAAAGCAAAGAAAACATAAATAATGTGAATTTACATTGGGAAAATATAGGAGATTAAGCAACATTCACAGTCGAATGTTTTATTAAAATGAAAAAGGTACATTGTGAAAGTGTTTTCCTTCTCATTTGATTGAATGACAGAGTAAAAGTGGAAAGGAGGAAAAATATACAAATCTATTTATATAACAGTTATTAAACGTTATTTAACGTTTGTGGTAGACACTAGTGTGTGTGTGAGTTAACAATGTTCAATGTGTAAAATTTGCACATTGTTACGTGAGTATCATAAAATGTTACATATGGATTGATTATTGACATGCAAATTATTTGTAATATGAGATCAATAATATTTAGCTTAATGGAGTGTATGTTTTAATATGACAGTAAATAGCTGCATATAAAAACAAATATCCATTTGATTGTGAATTTGGATGTACATTTTTCTCACAAAACATGGTACATCCTTAATTCACACACTAATTCTTACAAGCACATTTTGTGATTTTGTGCATTGGCCAACAATAATTTAAGTTATTTGCACCTGTTTGCCCCAAATATTTTTCAAATGTTTCATTTGAAAAAAACTTACTATTTTTCTAAAACAGCTACTATGTTCTAATTAAAAGTCTGAAAATAAGACAATTTTTCCCATAGAAAATCAAGAAAAGGCCTTAAATAATATTAAGAAATTTCTTAAAGACTTGTTGCTATGGTGTTCTTAATTCAAAAAAGTTGTTTTTCTAACTCTAAACCCAACACTGATACAGACTGGAAAGTTTGTATTGTGCACCTGAGATCACAGGGTGCATTCAAAATTTCGACAGCACAGTTTACTAACTTTTCACTTTTTTAAATGAACTATGATGTCATAAAATGAATCATATAAAATAAACCCAACTCAAACTTTTTTAGATTGCTCTATTTCAAGATAAAAATGTTTGGTGGTGGAGTCATAAAAGTAAGGTAAAAGCACGATTCATAAATTCAACACTTGCACAAGTTAACAATGATGTTGTATGTGTTTTTTTTTGTGATGACTAGCAACTGTGAAATGAATATTTTAAAACATTTCATTGTAAATACACCCTTATCTTATGCAATCTCTACGGCATGTGCATAGGGAGTCAAAGTCAAACTATACCATTTTAAGTTACAACCACCAATTTATCAAAGATAATGAAACGAAGACACTTGACTATCAATCCCAGCTGTTTGAAACCTACGATAAAGTAAAGGTAAAGAGATTACAGACGATTAGAGTGCATTTCAAAACAAAATAATGATTTAACTAATTTATTTAGCAGATTTTGGATAACACAACGAAACGCTCTATTTCTTTATCTTGGGTTTATACTTTTTCGAAAAAATTATTGTCAAAATTACCTCTGCGTAATTTAGTGATGTTTTTGAATAAAAAGTAACTGAAGGCGTTTGAATATCAAAAGCTGACCAAAAGGTTTCACACGTGCAGAAACAACGTATCGGCCATTTTGAAATAGAAAGCTTTAGCAAGGGTTCCACGGGAATGCACACTCGGACATCTAGCAAAAGTAGGCGCATTCGGAAACTTCTTACGAAGAGGATTTCCGACACCCGAGGTTTATTTTTTCGTATTGCGTGGATTCTGCGTGTATGTGAGCGATAAATATCGCTGCATATAATTTAAATAAAAACAACAGATAGACAAATGGTCGTGGTATTTTCAACAGACTATTGATCTAACCAAACTTAAAGGTAAGCGCAGTATATTGTAGTATAATATATATTTATAATATTGACATGTTATTCGACATAGTTGCATTCAAGTAAACAAAGACAAATGGTTTCCTGTGATTCTTAATCATTATTGTTATCAACAAAATGGAAATGTATAGCAGTTTAGAATTTAAAAATTTTACACCATTACACATTTATTTAACTTTAAATGTGTTGAAACCTGAAAGCATAAAGCAAATTAAAGCACAATTTATTTTGAAATTATTTTGCCCACTGGTATTATATATGTAAGCTCTCCATCACTTGTTCTACAGTATAAACAAATCTAAATCAACTTATCAAGAAAGGTAAGATAACATTGAAAATTCTAGACATTTTATTCTCCATTTCCCTGGTTTTTTGTTAGACGATGGTTTGATATCACTTTATGTACTAAATTTTTGACATATTTTTTACAGAATATAATCTTGCCAATTGTGTTTTATGCTTTGCATGTGCCAGTGGCAATTTGTTAACAACATATTCATGTAGTATAAAGGGAAAATCAGTGATAGTCGTTTTACATTACATATGTAACATTTTTAATGTTCAAGGTAACTAAGTAACTAAGGAAACTAATTACCATCTTAGATATATATTACATATTTGTAAAATAAAATCTACAAAGTTTTGCTGTCGCTATTTGTACATATTTGTATATAGATCAAAAATGGAAAGTTGCTATTAGTCGCCTTGAACATTGAAATATTGATAAAGTGGTTACTTTCTGTGTGTGCATGCACACACGAATGTACGTGCACATATATATAAAAGCGCGAAGCACCAAGTCAAAAGCTCAATAAATCATTAATAAAAATCCAGAGAAACTCTTACAATTGAATACAAAATATAACAATTCTTTCTATAGTTACAACTTTGAGTTTCCTCTAAAGCATTTTATTCTTTTGATTCATTATATGCATTTTGGACACTTCCAAGTGACATTTGTCTTGTGGAAAACTGAATCTGGCATTGTTGGTGAACACTTTTTGTGGAACCACTCCAAGCATTTGTCACACTGAGTACACCATAGGTCTGGGTTTTCAAGATCTTTCTGGTTCCATGGCATTCGACAGTAGCACATCAGTGAAAATTTCAATTTTCTTTGGATTTGACTCTTGTCATCAATTTTCCTTTTCTTTGTCGAAGGGAAAGGAGTGAACTCATATTTTTCAGACAACTCAACAAGTGTGATCGCATGGAACCTTCATTATACATCAAAGTTGTTGGATCTTGGTTAAAAAGTAATGACACAAGAAATTCAATTGCAAACACCCCACAGTCAACGTAATTGGATTGATAGTGGACATGTGGTATGTTGATTGCAATTGATGGTGATGGCTCATGGAGTAGGTTGGCAATTTGTTGTTAAAGAACTGACTCTTCCATTGTACAAACTGTCATATAAATTGACTGAAGCAGGCTGACAGTCAATATTTGAAACCAATACCCAGTGATGAGTACCTGTGTGGAGAATCTGGAAAAAAGTACCCCGATGTACAGAAAAATTGGTAACAGGGCCAAGTGTTGTGTTTTCTAAACCAAGTACGACAGGAAATTGTTTCTGCAAAACATTATGTGCAGCACCAATGATGTGATCTGTTAACTCTTTTCTGGTGATGATTATATTTATGTCAATGTCACTAAGCTTAAAAAATCCACGCTTTGGGGTCTGAACGATCTTTTCCAGTTTATCACCTGATTCTTTGTTCAAGGGCTCAATAGGTCTGCAATGGGAAGAGTTTATTTCATCTGTCACAATATTTGAATCATTTCGTCCAATCTTTGCTAGCTTTCCTTCTATTTCTGTTAATGTTGAAGCATAACTTCTTTTTAAAGTTGCTGCTTTTGCACCACTTCGACCTGACCAGGGATTTTTCTTTGCCGGTTTTGGGATGGGTTTAAACGGATTTACTAAACACTTGCTATTTTTGACGCTACATTTTGGGGCAGATTTCTTTGTATCTGGCACTTCCAACACTAAACCATTTTCCTTTGGAGAAACATCAGTCAGTATTTTATAACATTCATCCAATTTGACCTTTACTTCATGCAAAACATTGCCATTTCCCCATCCCTCAGCAACATAAGTTAAATTCTTTATTTGTCCCAACCGTTCTCTGCACCTTGCGGCTTCTGTTCTATGTGAAGATGGCTTTCGTTTTAGCTCAGCTACAATGGTGGGGAAAATGTTCTTGTCCTTAGTTACGTGGATTTCGTTTTCCTCTGGTGCTTCGACGGTTTGTGAAGAATCATCGGAGTGACATTGGCTTACCTCAAATGTCTTTGTTTCCATTACAGACGTGCAACCTATTCGATCAACTGTTAAAAATGGAGATTCCGTGTACGACTTCAGTAGTTTATCAAATGACCAAAATGGAAAGTTCTTGAAAATCGCAAAGAAGTGCTTACATGGCAACCTGTGTCTTTCCCAGTCATAACAATCACAGCTTGGAAAATCACCTGGATCACTTCCAAACGACAATGTATAAAACTTGCATATGCCGTCTTGACTACGAACTTTGAAAATTCCATGCATTTCGTCAAAAACCATGATGTGTGATGCAAGGGTATCTTCTGACGATGCAAGTCTTTCCATACAATGCCTAATCATAGAGTGTGGTCTTTCGTGAAGGTATGACGGGACATCATAATTGTACTGCCTGTAATTGCTCTGCAATTTCGTATTTAATTCGACGTATCTGTAAAATTAGACAAGAATTTCCAACGTTGTTGCTGCTAAAATACTAGCGCTAACAGCAGCAGCGAATTCCCCAGCCCGTTTTTTGTACCTCTACAAATCATATATTTTTGTGTTTAATCAATGGAAAGACAATGAATGGCATCGAATTTCTAAAGAAATGAACAATAATTTTGCTGAGAAATCTGGTTTGTTGGAGGAAAAAATCGGGCTGGCTTTGCCATCGCCTAAGAGACTTGTTCAAGTAAATAAAAAGAAAAAAATAAGTACTTGAAATAAAGGTCGGGCAAAAAGTCTTCAATTAGCACTGTCAGCATGACGCTCAACGTTGAACTCTTGTAGCCATCCAAATATTCATGCTTGAAAGCTTTGTTTTGCCTTTCCACGCCATTATTTGTGTTTATGACTGTTAGCAGTCGATCTTTTCGAAAGGTCCACACCCATTTCTATAAATTTTGTCCGCGCGAGAAAATTAACGAAATCAACATGTATTGTAATTATTGATGAGCACTGTAAGAATGATATTATTAGCAAATTATAAAATTCTCTTGCCTTGTATTGGGATAACCACGTATTGCCAATCCAGTTGCGCAGTTTTGGGTTTGTCTTCCATTCTTCTGATGACTTAAAATTTTTAACATTTTCCTCGTAATCAGCCTCCGTCCTCGCTCTGGCAATTAATCGTAGTTTTGCAAGAATCATATTTTTTAACGGGAGCAGTCCATTGCTGCTTTTTGAAAGCCATCGCTCCCACGCTTGCTCTCGATGGAAATCGCAGATGTACGTCTGACATTCTGTAATATATACGTACAATTAACATGAAGTGTATTGACTAGATTGTACCTTTTACTCCACCCCACAAAAAAAGAAATTTGCCTATTTCTGCCTCAATTAAAAACAAAAGAGGTGTGTAGCATTGTGTGTACCTTTGAAAGTAGTTTAGTTCTAGGTTTCTTGACTAACCTGGGAATACTCGGTATAAAGTAAATGGTTTGAACCCGGGAGTATCGTTATATGTTTGTAAATGATGATCGTCCAGGTTAATAAAGTCCTGAGAAGGACTGTTTTTGATGTTGTTGACTGACGTTTCGACAACCTTAGCGGTAGTCATCTTCAGAGTCAAATGAGGAGTGAACGTCAGGTTAGCCGTATTTATTGTCTGGTTCTTACGTCATTGTATTGTGTGTACAGGAAATGTGCAGGAAATGTGTATTGTCATTGTGGATTAGTGTGAAGTGAAATATTTTATTTTTAGTTGTGATGTGTGATTTAGGTGTGACGTTTTTAGTTGTAATGTGTGGGTGTCAATTGTGTATTGTCATTGTGAATTAGTTTGAAGTGTAATGTTTTTAGTTGATCGTTTGTTTGTATTGTGAATAAGTCGTTTGTAAGGTGCCGGTAATTGCTGTGATCTGTTCAGGGGGGTTTGTTCCAAGTTGGTATACCAACTTTCTAATGTAAGCCGTTGTCTATAGTCAGTACTGTAAGTGATGCATTTTGCTGAGTCCCAGTCAATGTTGTGCTTTGTGATTCGGTGATGTTCGGCAATGTGATTAGTTTTGTCTTGTTTCTTAGTAGCTCGTTTGTGCTCAGTAAGTCTTATGTTTAAGTTCCTGCCAGTTTCCCCGATATAGGAGGCGTGGCAGTCGGAGCAGTTTATTTTGTAAACTGCACCTTGTCGTTCGTTGGGTTGTTCTTTGTCCTTTATGTTCGTTAGTACTTGTCGTAATGTTGTGATTGGTTTATGTGCGACACGTATGTTGTATGGTCGTAAGATACGCGAGATAGTCTCAGACGTACCTTTGATGTAAGGTATCGTTGCTGTTGTCACTGAGTTGTTCGTTTCGTTGGGTTCGTTGGGTTTGTAAGTGTTGCGTTTGATAAAGTCAGAGTTATAGTTGTTTTGTCAAAACACGTTTGAGATAGTTGTTTTCGTTTTGTAGAGCGTCCGGTGAATCACATATGATTTGTGCACGTCTTGTTAATGTTCTGATTGTGGTGGCTTTGTGTGATGTAGGGTTGTAAGATGATTGGTCTAGTAGTCGGTCAGTATGTGTTGGCTTGCGATAAACTGTTGTTCCTAGTTTTTGATTGTCATGTTTTACAAACAGTCGAGAAAGGAAGAGTTCCGTTTTCTTCGACATCTTTGGTAAATTGTATGGCTGTTCTGTTTGTTGATGTGAGTATGGAAGTCATCAATCTCGTCTGCATGTAGTGCTGTGATTGTGTCATCTACGTAGCGAAACCAAAAAGGTAGTGCATGTTTGTAAGTCATGAGTGCCCGTTCCTCTATAGATTGCATTACAATTTCAGCAACTACAACAGAAATTCTGACTATAGACAACGGCTTACATTAGAAAGTTGGTATACCAACTTGGAACAAACCCCCCTGAACAGATCACAGCAATTACCGGCACCTTACAAACGACTTATTCACAATACAAACAAACGATCAACTAAAAACATTACACTTCAAACTAATTCACAATGACAATACACAATTGACACCCACATTACAACTAAAACGTCACACCTAAATCACACATCACAACTAAAAATAAAATATTTCACTTCACACTAATCCACAATGACAATACACATTTCCTGCACATTTCCTGTACACACAATACAATGACGTAAGAACCAGACAATAAATACGGCTAACCTGACGTTCACTCCTCATTTGACTCTGAAGATGACTACCGCTAAGGTTGTCGAAACGTCAGTCAACAACATCAAAAACAGTCCTTCTCAGGACTTTATTAACCTGGACGATCATCATTTACAAACATATAACAATACTCGGTATATCGCCGACATTTCCTCTTCAGAGTAATCTACCATAAAATATGCTGGATTCCACTCGTTGTTCCAACCTCTTATAACTTGAAGAGCCTCCGCAATAGCGTACTATGTTTCACTTTGCAGAACAAAAGAACCAACGACTTGATAGCTTACATTGGTTTTCACCACAAGAAAAAACAAAGCGAGGCTGTATTTTGTCGTTTTGTTAGTGGCATCTAGAAGGGTAAATTCGTTACCATATCTCTTTAGAAGACGTTTCTGATTAACAGTCTGGTGAATGAATAACAATCCATTTTTTGACTCTGGCAAAACTGTGTTGTCATCATCATCGTCATCGTCGTCTTCTTCGTTATCAACACTATTTTCTTGAGTAATCAAAGACGATGCTGAATATTTAGCAAGCGGGTGAAAGAAGAAAGACTCGTCGGGACACCTCAGTTTCCAGTCTTCGATTTTCTTTTGAAGATTTTTCGGTCAAATTTTGAAAATCGTTCTTTGATGACTGCCTTGTAAATGTGGCTGCGTATGGTTTGTTTGGAAGGATAAAATCTCCGATTGGTTTTAGCGGGTGCCTTTGTTGCTTTGTACACGTCTTGCTCCACGTAGATTTTAAGATGCCTCCTAACTTCTTTAACTGAGCAAGCCCCAGCAACAACCAATTCTTGGATCTTGGAAACAAGCATCTTATCAATTCCTTGATAAAGACCTCCAGCCTTCATATAAAGGAGCCAATTATAAAACGTAAGGTTTAAAAACAATATAGCAAGACATTGACTTGCACCGTACAAAAACTAGGACTAAATATATCCTTACGCTTCCTATAGGGTGAGTTTTGTGCTCAGATAGGCAAGGCAACTGGATATGGATCCACCTTTCTCCATTGGCATTTCCACCTTTTTGTAAGCATTCCCTAAGTTTTTTCGACATCGATTTTTGTCGCCAAACCGTTTGCTCTTTAATCTAAAGGCGCGTAAATTTATCAAAAAACCTGTGTGAGTAAAGTTTCAAGGCAAATTGATTTGGACACCTCCAGACATTTTTGTTTTTTATACCTGACAGATCGAGTAATGCATACGAATAAACACTGTTATTTAAAATTACCCTAAAGTCTGGAAATCTGATGTATTCTCTCATGTGAACTTGTGCTGAACAGTTCAATTTTCTTGTTCCTTGAACCATGTTTCTGTGCTTCTTAAACGAGTGGTCGCTAGAATTTGACTAAAAGATATAAACATGTTGGTAAATAATTACACCTAAAAGGAAAGGCAGCTGAAGAAATTCATGAAGAAGAAAGAAACCAAGATTACATAAGAATGTTAAAAATACAATAAAACTCAAAGTTTCCCTCAAAGCTCTTCACACTGGAAGTTTAATTGCAACGTACTATAAAGTTAGCAACGTCGTTTCACTTTCATTTTACTTTTATTAAATCTGTAGTATTGCATTAGCAGATGAATAATATATCTATTACCGTTCTGTTTTTCTTCTTTTGGCTTGAATACCTATCTACCCCATGACGACAATCGTAGACCCTATGGTTCACTTGAACGAACGTTATATGGTCAAATGGAAGCTGGCCATCTTCCCACCAAACCTTGTGATTGGCACTTGTGAGATCTAACATTTTTTCGATTAAAAATAGAATAAGTGATTTCATTTAGTTCAAATTGAACCATTATATTCAACATTACTGTGTGATTTACGTGGTTGTATTCTGTACACATTAAACGAAACCTTTTTAACGAAAAACTGTGCTTTTCCTCTTGCTCTTTTTTAGACTAAAGTACTACCTATGAGTTGGTTTTCACCTTTTTTGCGATGAGTGTAGTTTCCCTATTCCTTGCTCGTTCGACACACAACGACAGACTGAAGATAGTAAGACTCAAATGTGCATGGACATTATTATAGTACTTCTTATATTATAGAATATGACAACATTCAGGTTTCATATAACAATTTGATCTGGACAACAGAAATAAGGAAAGCATATAGATCGATATAGATTAGTTATATTTTGAGAAAAAAATACAAACCTGTGTTCCCAAATCCTTTTTTTTCTTTATTTCCACATAAATTAGTTGTGCTTGCCAACTCGTACTCTCTAAGGAGACTTTCTGCTTCCTCTACATTTTGCACAAGTCCAGAGCGTTCAGACAGTTTGATTTTAAATAAAGTCGCTGCTGAAATGTCAATAATTTTCATATGTATAAAAATATGTGCTTGTTCTTATAAGAACAGTTTACCAGCGGAAACATAAACAGAAATTTAACTTCGCTTGTTTTGTGTGGTGATGTACAATATGCGGAAACTGTTTACTATTTTAAATTATTTCCATTTTCCCGCGATAAGTTTTAAATTGCCACGAATTAAGGCTTTACACGCAAAATTATTACGCAGAATCCACGCAATACGAAAAATAAGCCTCGGGTGTCGGAAATCATCTACGTGAGAAGTTTCCGAATGCGCCTACTTTTGCTAAATGCCCGAGTGTGCATTCCGGTTCCACGACGAGAACGAGTACGAAGTTTGACCGTGTAAAAGGGAATGGCACGAGGAAGTTTGTTGTCGCTGTCGCTTCGTCAAAATTTCGTTTCGTTTAGCCATTGAATTCTATAAGACCTTATAAGGTCTTATAGAACTCAATGGGTTTTAGCTATAAACAACAGAACGAGCCTTTTTATTGTGAAAAACAGCGACGTTTGCGAAGCAGCTACGGCTCCATTTGATGACGGCTACTTGTTGTATTAGAACTATGTATATTGTTGTATAAGATATATATTGTTGTATATCTATATTATATATTAAATTATATATATTATATATATAGGAAGTTTTGTTTATTTGAATCTCCGTAAGTACAGTGCTCGATGCTTAAGAGCAGAGCGTAAATATTGATAAGAAGAAAACACACAAAAACTACAATTTCATCCCGACAAGCCTGTTTCGTGATTTCTCACTCTTCAGGGGATAATATTAAATGAATACAAAAGCATGTGCTAGATTATATATACAAGAGGAAGTCAGGGTAAAAATTAAGTTAGAATTACAGAATATGTTGAGTGTACGATAACAAATTGGATAAAAATGGATATCATTACAAACTGAAATATGACCCAAACTGAAATATGACTGAAATATGACGAAACGGAAAAACAGACTTAGAAATAACATACACTTGTACAACCCACCATACAGCAAGAACGTCAGCACAAACATTGGCTACAAATTCATTTCACTAATTGACAAGCACTTTCCCATAGACCACAAACTCAGAAAACTATTTAACCGCGACACAATTAAATTAAGTTACAGCTGCATGAACAATATGGAACATATTATTAATAACCATAACAAATGCATATTGAGAGAACCTGACAATACTAATGACACCATCAATGACAAAAATACACAAACTAAAACATGCAACTGCCGACAAAACAAAACTGCCCACTTAACAGAAACTGCCTACAATCATCTGTCATCTAGATAACGAATTTAAGACTCGACACAGGAACCACACTGCCTCTTTCCGCCACAAAAAACTAAGAAACTCTACCGAACTCAGTAAACACACTTTTTTTCTTCACCGTATACATTGTCATGATAATCAATTTCATTTTAGATCTTTTTATACACGTGCAGTTTAGATTTAATTTTATAAGCGGTGTATCGTTGGATGGTTTACACATAGAAGTACCCATTGCTAAAATTAATTAATAAAATGGCTGGAAAAACACTCTGTAAACATATAGAAGTGCATTTATTTTTAAATAATGGTAAAAAAGAACAAATAAATACCAATGGAAAAGTCAGTACTACTTGTAGCTATATTACAAAGCCATCATCAGAGTATATATATAATATATTAATATGCACATGAAAAACATGTGACTTGGAGGAGATTTGAACTCGCATCTTCGAGACACTAGTCCGCCGCTCTACCTGTTGAGCTACCAAGCCCACAGGGATTGGAGACGAGTCAAATCTGTTTTAAACTCCGTATGAACGAGAGATTATCGCCACTATAGCAGTTTACTGGATGGCACCGTGTTTCGACTTTATTCCAAAGCCATCATCAGAGTATCCCGAAAATGCGAGTTCAAATCTCGTCCAAGTCACATGTTTTTCTTGTAGCTATGAAACATAGGATAATGATTAATGTAGTTTATTCTCACTTTTCTTATTTGAACAATCAATTGAAGATTGGAAATCAGATGATGATCATAAATCTGTAAGATATTATAAAATTGATACAATAAAAAATAATATTGGGAATATCCCCCCTTACAGGCAACCAAGTTTCCCACCCTGCATCATCAAGCATTCTTTCTCACATTAACACAACTGGACACACACCCAACTTAGACGACTTTAAAATAATCTCCTCTTCCAACGATACTTATGAACTCTCCATTCATGAAAGCCTTCAAATCAATAAACACAAGCCTTCACTTAATGTGCAAGGAAACTCCATTCCACTTAACCTCTTTTAATTTCTCTTTATTTCACTTCCTAACTTCCTTATCATGTATCCATTTGACACCGCTTCCTTTAGTATTTCTTTCATTAAATCATTCTTTAGTATTTCCTTTAGTATTTCTTTCATTAAATCATTCTTTCCGCTTCCTTTAGCATTTCTTTCATTAAATCATTCGACACCGCTTCCTTTAGTAGTAATTTAACACTTTTTTGTAAATATAATATCTTGTCTTCACATCCCATTTATTATTTGTCTGAAGATGTCTTGAGTAAAGACGAAACGTCACAATAAATTTAATTTTACAATTTTTCTGGTCTATTTCTATGACTCTAATCAGAACTTTATGTTGGGCATTAATTTTTATCACACGAATTCGATTTCCGCTCGGCAAGTCTCTCGCTACAATAATAAAAAATAACTTTAATTGTTTTAAAAAAATATATATAATCTCGAATCAACTCATTTTGATGTATGTTTTAAAATTGAGAAATTAATTGCATATATTGAACAAAATATTGAAATTTATGCTGGAATAAGATTAATTTACTTAAGATGATACAAATTATATAAAAAAGTACAACAATGTGATGGAATTACCTTGAAAATATAAGATGTCGAAAAAACTTCTATTCACTTGGGAAAAAACTTAATTTAAGAATTAAAATTTCAATTGTTCCTAATGCTGGAAAAAGATCATTTAAATATGAAAATCTAATTCCAAAAAAGAAAAAGTTACTAACTACACTGGAAGATATCTTACCTCAAAAGCAACTAATTAGAAAATATGGAGATAGTTTAGCAAAATATGCAATTTACGATAGAGGAAAGTGTGTTGATGGTAATGAAAAAACTGATGATGAAGCAAGATATGCAAATGACGCTCAACTTTTACGTTTAAAAACAATTTGTTTTTATTTGGAAAAAAATTTAAATATTTTTTAAAATCATCAAAAAACATTAAGCCACACCAAGAAATATTAACTATATATGGTAAAGAATATTAGAAGAAAAAAGTACAAAATGAAATATTTTGTATATAAATAATATTTTTTGTTGAATAAAATATTTTTTACATAAATATTTCATTTTATGTACCAATAAGTACACAAATTAATTTCAATTAAAATATTGACCCCAATATTTGTGCTAACCAGTAGCGTGGTGGCAGGGGGGGCCAGGGGGGCCAGGGCCCCCCTAGCTGTTGATTTTAGGGGGCGCTGAATTGGATACGAGTAATCAAGTTTTAAATATGGGCTGTAAAAAATTAAAAACGCATTTGAAACAGTGGATGAAGTTAACTTTAGGGAATTAGGGAAGAAAGGAAGTAGACGGACCAAAATGAAACCTTGTCAGGAGGTCGAATAAAGAATAAGATATTGATGAGCATTCTAGAATTAGATGTTTCGTTTGTGGCCACAACGCGTGCATGATTTTGTCACGATGACTGTAGATAACATACATGCATAAACTAGAACGCTAATTGGGGGGATGAATATTCTTACATTCAGCTTTGCCCCGCTGATTTCTATTGAATTTAACATCGCCAACAAAAGAAATCAACAGCAAGGCAGAGCTGAATATATGAATATTTACACCACCCCCCAGTTAGCATTCTAGTTTCGCTTATGCATACACGGCCAAACTGTCCTCTTAAGGGGCGCAACAAGGCCTAAAATGTGTAATTTTTTGCTTATCTTAATCAATGTTTTTTGCTTCCCTCACAGACAGTAATCGTTACTGGCATAGTATCTTATTATTAATCCGAGCGTAGTAATATATTTTTTAAAAATGACAGTAGTGCAGTCATCGGTAAATTGCTATCATAAATCATAGTCTAACGTGAAGTAGCCCTTAATGATACCGCAGCATGTACTGTGTTATTGTTGGTATTGTGTTATTTACATTTTCATCGTTACGACGACACATTTGTCATTTTCAGTAGTAAAGCAAGTTATTATACGGTAAAACTTTTTAAATCACTTAAAGCTTCTTCGTAAATGTTCAAGATTCATTTATCCGCAGTTATCGAATGTGAATAACAGCATACATTTAATTGAAATTAAGATATTTTTAAACAACAACATTTGAAGACCAATTAAATTAATGTCTCAAAATGCAAAACTCTCATTTTGAGCTTCCATTGTTGGCAATACAGATTTAATTCACAAAACAAACATTTCATTTGATAATTCCATTTGTGTTGGGAAATCTATTTTAATATTATTTATTGTACATCATGGATCATGGGGCAATGTTAAAGACTAACTACAATGTCTAATTCTTTCAACACCACGAAGAGAAAAAAGTCGAGTGCTGAGTATCAGAGATTA